TGCTTGAGTAGCCTAGACGTGTAGGCTATGTGTGTGATCAGGCATGTCGACTTTTCTCTGTCAAAAAGAGAATAAATACTTAATCTATGGACTTGTTCAGTGTGTTTCTGACAGAACCCTTTTTCATTTCGGCAGAGAACTGAACAGACTTTCTTCTCACTGAGCAGAGCTGGAAAACACAGCTGAGAAAAGACGACATCCACCAGCAACCAGACCACAGTCAGCCTGCGTTTACTCGACACCCAGAGTCATTAACCGCTGCGTTACTCGCATAACTGGACGTGTGTTGTGACATGTGCCTTCACCCTCTGAAAGAAGTCTTGTACATGTTTTATATGGATTTCTGACACCATACACCCTGCGCTGAGTCAAACGGGACATGTTCACATTCAGTGTTAAAATAACATAAAGCCACCATAGCTCCTTGATCAATGGAGTTCTTGAGTAACTGTTATAATTTACACCCTCTCTGACCAGTGTTGTTTGTAGAGGCTAAGATCAAACTGAAAGAAGAAATTTAGTACTTCAGAATCTGGTACTAGAAATGAATACACAGAAAGCAAAAATGCAGCTTTAAAGATGTGAAATTCCAGACAACAATATATGTGTGAATTTGTGATATTGTGGCAGTAGGATAAGATGGGACAATGCAAAGATCTGAGTCTAATTTCAGTGTCTCTCAGACTGTGTATCTGAAAAAGTACAGACTCTGAAAATTCATTAATTATTTCCAATTATTGCTTCAAATTCTGCATGTGATCACACAATGCAACTATTGTCACTCACATATCTGTTGTTGGACAAAAACACAACTATGAAAAGTGATTCAGGTGCATTGAGAAGAGATATTTACCCCATGGATTAAGTGGACTTTTGTGAAAAAGGTCTATTTCTCATTTCCACATTGAGGTGAATAAATCTAAAAATGCTGTGAAAATTACTTTGATGCACTGTTTTTCCAATTTCTATGAAGCTCTCTGTCCGTTCTGAGACGTGAGTACAAAAGAAAACAACAGAATATCTTCCTCTTTCCCTTTTTGTCGACAAACAATGAAAACAGTTAGGCCTGTTTGCCGAAGTGAACAAACAGACTCTCTAAATAAAGTCTTAATCATTTCCAAAAGCAGCTGGCCGCTGTAAAGTAAATACAGCATTTGGGATTTATTTTCATATGTGGATTTGATGTGTTAGTGCACAGAATGGTGAGCGTGGGATTGACTCAAAATAAACTGCAGTGTCCATGTTCATTGTAATTAAGAAACGTGTTAGCCAGCACAACAGTGTCTCATTAATGTGTAATTAGTTTTTGGACAACAATGACACAGTGAAATAATATTTATCAGCCTTTGGATGCAGAAACTACTTCTTAGTAAGATCAGTTCATTGTTGGATTTTCATCTTTTGATGGGATTTATTGACAATAAGAAACAATATAAATATCACCATCAAAAATGCCCTTGGACTCATCAAGAGAATGACATGAAGTCCTTACTTGACAGATCTGTGCAAATTTCCACATGTCACACCTTAACCTACAAGCTAAGGGTTGCCTCATCCACATGGCCGCCGTCCACATTTATGAGTTTTATGGCAATTTAAGGAAAGACTTAAATTAGGTGGGTGAGTCTTTGAAATCATTTTACAGGCAAATATTGGACTCCACCCCCACTCATGCAGGAACCCAGAGCCCAGAGGTACAGAGACTAGAGCTGCATTCATAATGAGCATCCTTGTCCTAGCCTGACCTGTAGCTGTAAGTCACAGAGAGTGTAACGCCCCTGACTTTGGCTAATGGAAGCCATATGAGGGCGGCGGACCGCAGAGGGCCTCCTCACAGAGGGTCTTTGTGGCAGGAGCTGTTGGTACTGATGGAGAAGACAGGGATAATTTAGATAATTTAGATTTAGATCTGTTTCACGTGCACACAAGCTGAAGTGATGCTACACAAACACTATATTTGAGTTTATTTAAAAATCTAAAAGAATATGATGCTGTTCCATCCCACCCTTTGGTGGCTACATGGGGCGATTAACACTGCAACGATGGCCCAATCTTAACGCAGACAAATTTATTAACATAACACAATAAATCAAGAACACCAAAAACACAAGAATATAAACACAAAATGCCCTGAGAGGCAGCAAGACCAGCAGTCTCAAATCAAAAAGCCTCACTCTGATGCTGGTACAGGAGCTTTTAAAGACCGCCTTCCAAGGCCAGGGGGACCTCATTCAGTAATTAGCTGGAACGCTCCTGGGACAAAACTAGATGAAAGAAAAGGAACATGGACACAGCACAGGGAAACACATGCAGCTGCAAAAATGCCAACAGGGGAAAGGTATTTTCATTTCTGTGCTGACAATATTTGTGCAAGTGGGTGCACGCGCTCTTCTCCGTGTTCAGTTTGCTTATAGAAGAGCCTTGTGTACACCGTGCTCACTGGCTGTTTATAAAATGCTCTTTTCATAAGCAGTATAACTGCCCACTGTGACCCCGCAAAGTTCACCACAGCAGCAGCAGCAGCCCCAGGTGGCCTACACACAGGGTGATGTGGTGGTCAAACTGACTCTGGTTCGCACAGACACTGACGTCAACGTTGAGTCTCACACCAGCAACAGCAGGCGGGCGGTATGCTGTGCTGACTCTCTGTTGAAGGAGGGCAGGGTCACCTTTAAAATGCTGAGGTTGAGTAGCCAAAGAACAACTGTTCAAGTGTTCCGACTGTAGTAGTGGTGGCAATAGTCACTGTAGTGGCTTTTTGGCCATAGTGATGCTTGCTTCTAGGGGTTGTGGGGTTAGTTCAGTAGCACAGCGATGGAACAAGTACTCAGATCCTTTACTTAAGTGAAAGTAGTAATACCAGCGTGGAAAAATATCAGAAATACTTTATTGTACTGTATTGATCCCCGAGGGGAAATTCTGTAAGGTTACAAGTAAAGGTTCTGTTGTTCAAAATATTCTTTTTGCTAAGTCTTAGCATCAAAATATACTTAAAGTAACAAAAGTAAAAGTACTCATTATGCAGAATAGCGGATTTCAGAATTATGTTTATTATATTGTTGGACTATTGATGGAGTAATATCTCAGTCTAGGCATGTACACATACAAGGACATTGACCCTGGTCATACATTGCTCTCGATGTACATACACAGAACAAGCTTTAACAAAAAGTTCAACAATAAACACACACAGCCTACAGCTTATAAAAGAGTACGGTCTAGATGCTCTATATGAAAAATGCTATGAGATATGTTTTGCCGCTATATAAATAAAATTGAATTGAATTCAAAAATAAAGTATTTGACTAAGTAGAAGTAGAAGTATAAACAATCAGAAAATGGAAATACAAGTACCTCAAAATTGTACTTTAGTACAGTTCTGGAGTAAATGTACTTTGTTACTTTCCACCACTGCTGTGTATTAATGATAATTCAACTTGTGAAATGTATGAACAGGCAACACAGTAAGATTCAGTGCAATTGTTTGTTATAAATAAGGAAAGATGGTCTGTTGATGTCTGGTATAAACCTAAATTACAAACGTTATTTGTAATTATTATTGTCTCAAACAACAATTGTGAAGTACTGTACTTAAGGGCAATTATGAGGTAGTTTTACTTTAATTAAGGATTTAAATTTAATGATATGTTCTGCTTCCCTTACAGAGGGAAATATATTTTACACCGCTACATTTTTCTTTTCTGCTTGTGTGTTGAACCATCAGTAATAATGTAAGAATATAACTCTCTGAAAGGGGCCGTTCTTTCCAACAAGAACTCTTACTTGCAATGTAATGTCTCATTTAAGAAGTTATGTTCTTGTCCTTTTTTTGTGACCACGTTTTTATAACTATCTATCTTATTTTCTGACAAATGTTGCACCACTGCAAATGGTACTTTTGTTGCCTCCACTTGGGCACTTGTTTGTGTGTCATGTAGTAATGATAATAATAATAGCATTGTTTGGGTATATTCATAAAAAAATAAAAGAATCAAATAAATTTAAACTATATTATATGTTATTATTTCATTTTTAAGTAACAAATTATATATATATACAGTATATATATTTTGAAGGAACAAATACAGCTATAGATAGCATTTGATTCAAAAGATGTGTAGTCATAATTACTTATTTCCAGAGTAGTCCAGTGTTTGAACACATTTTCAGACCTATTACCTAGGTTTGATAATATAAAATGTTTTTTTATTGATCCCCTGCAGGAGAAATTCAAGTAAGTATTAAGTAAGTAAGTATTTTTTTTACCAAAAATTAACCAAAAGTACGACATTGAAAATCTCACATAGTAAAAAACACGTGCATTGTGTAAAATGTACATAGGCAACTCATTATACAGCTGATTGGCCCCTGTCTGTGTCAGTGCCAGTGTTATGACGATGCATGTAGCTGGCCATAGTGAAAAATTTTTTTTACAACTAGTGGTAGTTTAATTTATGAAGACACATCCTGTTTTAAGTTCATCGTATGGAATTTGAAATCTTAATCTGCAAAGCAACTGTCAAGTAAATGTTTCTTTTCAGATTAAGATTTTATTTTACTTTAATTTCTAAGACTAAAGTACAATATTTGGAGTATGGAGTTAGCAGAAATATGAAGGGTGGTTGAAAAAAAAAATACAAGGTACAAGGTTGTTTATCTGTCATTAAACAACACAAAAGTTGTATAATGAAAAGAAAGTTTGTAACTTCGTCCTTTCATGCTGCACACGCAGAACTTAAGACAGATAATAAAATGTGTATTAAAATATGGTAACATATATTTATATGAGATATATGGATGAGGTAACAAGCATCATCATTTTGCTTGTACCTGATTCGCTAGAGGCCGCTAAAGCTCTTCTCATCTTTGGGAACTTGTCGTGCCCCCGCCTACTGACTGACTTTGGTCGTTGCTTATTGGCTCAAGCAGGTTTTCGAGTCACACCTTCTTGAAGCTGTTCTCATTTCCCATTGGTTGACGCAGACGTTGTCTCTCCGTGCGTCAAACAGAAGAAAAAAAAAAAAGATTGGTTTCACATGCAAACTGTCAAGAGCAAAGAAAGCGAGCCGATGGCAGCGATGCAAACCTTCCAGCCACACTGTGAGTTCACGGTTCACTGTTACTGTATGCTAACGGAAACATCCTCGACACGCGTCCAGTCTTAAACGTTAACATTAATTATCGCTCGCACATTTCGGTATTAGCTTCAAATGCAGGCAAAATGGCTCTGGAAGACTTGTTTACATCGCCGATCCAGCCGGGCTAACGTTACTGTGTTAGCTGAATGCTAGCACTAGCACTGCTAACGTTAACGAGCGCTAACGTCTCTTTCTTTGCCATATAACGTTGATCTTGAACTCAACCAACTGTGTTTGAGCCGTCTAGATTCGTTTTACATGCTAAAATCACTTTAATATTTTGGTTTCTAAATATCCAACGTCTTCGTATTCTAACGTTTATTTGCTGTTATACAACAACATCGTATATATAACGTTAACGCTAATGAACTTGTTGATGTGATGGCGATGTAACGGTAACTACAACAACCAGCCTGTGGTAACGTTGACTTATAGGTTAAAGTTAATCCACTGTCCGGTCATTTTTAATTCAATTAAACATCCTTGTGTCCTCAATTCACGCAGTTAATCCCGTCGGTCCCTCTTCCAGTTCAAACATCAGGTGCAGCTACAACGTTTGTGTAACGGGGTGTTTTTTTCTGTCAGCCCATCAAAAGTATTTCGAAGTTATCGTGTCTCCAGACACTTTATTTGTTGTATTTTATATCAGTCGTAGACGGACTACTATTACTCTTTGTCTAATGTCATAGTAAACTTAACATGTTTGAGGTTATGGACTGTTTTGAAGATTTTAAAGCACTTTTAAAATGTCATCTGGGCTTAAAGAAAATGTAATGCACGTTTTTCACTTTTTTTTTTGTTGACATTTTATAGACCGTTTTTAAAACGAGGGATTAATCTAAAATACAAATCATTGTCTCCGTTGCAACCCTAAACGTATCTTACAAACATAGATTGACTGGAGGGGATACTATTTACAGGTTTGTCTCTCTGCCCAGCTTGTCCAAACTTGACTGTCTTTAACACTCAGCTCTGAGTAGAGCTGCAAGGATAGTTGATTAATCAATTAGTTGTCAACTATTAAATTTATCCCCAACTGAATATTCTCTGTGTTTCTTTGCTCGGCTATGACAGTAAACTGAATATCTTTTGTTGTGGACAAAATAGTACATTTGAGGATGTAATCTCAGACTTTGGGAAACACTGATTTAAAATTTTTCACCATTTGGGCCAAACAACTAATCGATTAATTGTGAAAATGATCGACAGATGAATCGATAATTAAAATAATCATTAGTTGCAGCCCTAGCTCCAAGATATGTCACCAACTCTTGCTTCAGCATGGTAGGATGGCCATCCCTTCTTTTGCGCAGGCTTGAACACTGGTACATTTTAATCTATAAGATTAGTTTAGGTAAACTTCCGACTTCTTTACAAAGCAGTCATAATCTCAGGTTACATAATTGGCTTCAATTTAAAGTTTCTGCTATCAGAACAGAGGCTGGAAAATCAAGCCTGTCTGTTTTGGAATGATGTGCAGACCAAGCTCAAACTTACGTCCCTCATCTCTTTAAATAATTTTAAACACAGAATAAAGGAATTGGTTACTGTTAGCTGCGGCTAGCTGCGGCTGCCAAATAAATGTATGATCTAATATTGCTGTTATCTATATGAACTGTACTATGTAGAGTATTACGTTACACCCAATGTTGTTTTGTTGTGTTTTCCTCTTGTATCTTACGTTGCTGTTGTTGTCATATGTTAGATTCTGCTATTTGAACCTGTCTTGACTAGATCTCACTTGTAAAAGAGGTTTTAATCTTTTTAATCTCAAATGTAACTTTCTAGTTAAATAAAGGTTAATAAGAAGAAACGTATATTATCTCAAATTAAAGGCATTCGCTTCCATACATGTTTCGACTGTCGAAACGCTGTTTTCTGTTGGCCTTCAGCACACTGCAGGGAGCAAAGATCTACTGGTGAAATGCTGAATTTAAAATCAAATCAAATGTCAAGAAACAAAGCTTAGAAATGATAGGTCTCAGCTATGGCTGCACAGTTCTGAAAATAATATGATTTGCAGTACTTGGAGGGAATGATCATTATTACTACTTTCATAGAAAAACATTTTCAGTTTGTTATGGTATAATTTTTGCTGGGATCTGTACCAAATAGAGATGTTTTCTTAAGTCTTCAGAATATGATGTGTAGGCCAGGACATATCTGCAGCATGACAAGATGTAATTTAAAATAGTACTTTGACACACACATCGCCTACACACCCTCTGCAAGTCTGGTTAGATGACATCTATTTGAAACGTTGTCTCTTTAATAAAGTTTAAGTAAACAAGGCCGTGATTGAGATGAAAAATAGTTCTATTGAAACAAGTTCTGGAGCAGACTCAGGCTTCACTCTCCATTAGGTGAAAGGCTGAAGCAGGTTCGGGCAGAGCGCTCTGCAGGAGGTGTCTGAGCCTGCCCCAGCAAGGAGTCCTGAGTCATCTGGTTCAAGGTGGGGTAGAGGTCGGAGTTTTTTAGGAAATGTAGGAAAAGGACACATTTAAGAATGGAAAGTGGGGCAATAGAGGTCCAGAAACCGAGGCAGTGATTACATGTATGTGATGAGTTAAGAGGTCAAAGGGAATAGAAGAAGCTAGACTAGAGTTGAATGGTGCAAATGGAGACTTGGCTCTGTCTCACGGTTGAGTAAACCTCCACTCGCGAATTGGAGTTGTTACCCAGGCGTTTCTGTATCTTGTCATATCAGCTTTTAGACAACTTTTTCCTTTTCCTTTTCCTTTTCAACTTTTTTGATTTTAGAGCTGTAACAATAAGTCAATTAATTTATTATTCTATGGACAGAAAAGTAAAGGGCAACTATTTATCGTTAAGGCAATTTGTAAAGCAAAGTATTTCAAACATTCTCTGGTCCCAGCTTCTCAAAGTTAAAGAGCTGCTGCTGCTGCTGCTGCTGCAGCTGCTTCAGTTTTTGTATCATTGTAAATGTAATATCTTTGGGCTTTGGACTGTTGGTTGGCCAAAACCAGACATTTGTCCTTAACAAAACCTAATTGGCTTTCGTGTTGTCAGATAGTTTAAAGGTGACATTCTCCTCTTTGTGTTGACAACACTGCCCAGTCTCCTTAGTTTATTTAACTCCTTTCAAAACCAACTGGATTGTGTCAGAAATTATTTTTGATCAAGGTTAGTTGATATAATGGAAATACGCCCCTTAACAGCCATGTGTAGCATGAAATTTGAGAATGTAAACTGCACCCTCAGTCCCATTTTAAAACGACTTAAATAATATACTAATATAGAGGACATGACCTCAGTGTCCTCAGTTGAAGCGATGACCATGCTTTTAGCCTGAGCAAGCAGGTGTAATATAAGAGATTAACGGTTGTGCTGAAGCTCTGAAACGCTAATCTACTTAGGCATGGAAAGAGTTTATTTCAAATCAACTTGGTGCCAAAATTGAAGTAAGAATGAGTTTTTGTATGTGTACCAGGCAGCAGTTAAACATTTATAATATACAAATACTTAACAGTCACCGACTTGACTGGACTGAACCTGTGCTTTCTCATTTCCATTGCCTTAAATGCACAAGTGCACAGATGTAACCGGTGATACTTTGATACTTCTTAGTACTTAGTAAGAACTGTGTTTAAATGGAAAGATAACTGTGACTATCCACTACATATCTTCCGTCCCCCTTTTAATGACACTTTCTCAAGTACATTTTATTGGCAAAAACAGTAGTGCGCTTAACCATTCCCAAGTTGACATATTTAAATTGCCTTTTTTTGTATGGCCTAAAGTCCAAAACCCGCTGTACTATCACAGAAGACGAGAAAATCACAACATTTCTGGCATTTTGAAATTACTTAAAAGACTTAACTATCATTTCATGTACTAATAATCTTCAATATAAGTGAAATTGCTGCATACATGCTTTACTGTTATTTGTGAATCCCAGGAAGATTAGCCGAGTACTGTGTCTTTTAGGTCATGGTGACCTTTAACTAAACAAGCAAGTTCTACAGAGGGAGCTTGGCCTCTTTGCAGTTTTATTTGTGTTCCCTCAGTTTGAGATCCCCAAGGCTTTGGACAGTTATGTTTGTTTATTATCTCATCCGGACCCCTTCTAGGCTGCTGATGTTAATAACCGCATTTTCCGCTGCAAATAGTCAGCCTTTACACTTGAGTGATTGCGCCTGATGGTGAAGCTGTTTGTTGTTCAGAGAGCGATGAGTAGTTGTGGTTTGTCTACAGTATGACATGTGGTCTGCTGCCTGTCCTGTCTCCATGACTGGCTAATGTTTAGTGGTGATGGGAAATGCAGATCAGAGCTGATTCCTCTGCTGTTTGGCAGCACCAGACTGCAGCGTCAGGGTTAAATGTGTAACAGTAGAGTAGGTGATGGAGGTAATTATTGCTCAAGCACACAGCCATTTCTGCTGAAAGTGATGCTATATTGGCTGCGTTTGCACTGCCACACATGGTGTTCTTTTTTTACAGTGCAGTTGAAAGACCAAAATTACCCACGCAGCTTGGCATAATGAGACTGTTGTTGACCGTCGGACACCCTTGGACAAAGAAGAGTGATGAAATATTTCTAGCGATTTAGATTTAATTAGTCATTCTCCTTGTTGTTGTTTTTTTTATTATGTTTGGATATTTTCTCTCATTTATTTGATTCAATACAAAAGGATTCAATACATAGACTGTAAAAGAAGTGGAAGTAGCCACCATGACGTCACCATGGATTGTGAACTGCTGTCTTAAACCTTGAGTCTGGCATTTTGGCATGTTTGGAACCAGAAGTGACCATGTTTAGACGAGAGAGTGGAGCTGGGGAGGGATACGCATTGCTACGCCTGACGTGTTTGAAGTAGGCTAATTTTCTCATAGACCATAACAATAATAATAATTTAATGCTGATGATTTTGTGCTTTACACACAAAGTAATATACACAAAACCGCAAAATTATAATTCAATCAGAAGAAAACTACAGCGTTGACAATATTTGATTGACTTCTGTACCTACAAGTTGCAGATCTGAGTCTGACCACAAATCCAGAACACTGAAAGATGATTACCGGTAATAGTGTTTGCAAAGCATTATATAATGCAATTCGAAGCAAAATTGAACAAATAATGTTTAAAATTTTGTTTGTCTTTCAGGACTGTCAGCCTTGCGTACAAATGGAGGAAAGGACTATCATCAGATTATTGGAGCCTCCAAGTTGCTGAAGACTCTTGGGGAAACTGAAGTCAGTCATAAGATGTGAATTTGCTGAATGACGAATGAGAAACCTGAGTACCGACGTCATTGCAGAGGACTGACTACTACCATCACTTGTCCCATGACCTTGTATGTTTGAGTGCTCCTCATTCAGTCATTCTGGTCCTCTGCTTCACACCTTCATCTACCAGCGCTGCTTTTCAGCCCAGGCAGAGTGGACCCGTCCCTCTACCCAGGCCCCGCGCCCTCCCATCGGCGGCCTATTCTGGCGGTGTGTTGGTGTACGATGGCGCGGTGGGACGCTGAGGGCTGCCGCGGGGGACTGTGATGTCAGAGCCCAACAGCCCGGGCGAGAGCCGGCGTGGCGCTCCCAGATTCTTCGTGGGCTGCGAGGACGATGAGAGCGAGGTCCTGGAGGACAGCATGAGGACAGACATGGAGCTATATGAGGACGACGAAGACACAGACTCGGTGAGGGACAAACCTCAAAACCTCTTTAATATAATCTGTTCCTCCACTTAGCTGTCGGTGCTAGCTGGAAGAAATTAAGTTGAATATCATATCAAAAGCATCAGATTATCAATGAATAATAACATCGCAGATGAGTCACCAGTAGAGATCTTTCAGTTAACATTGTGTACCCTGGGCAGCCATTGTGGACTTCTTTTTGGGTGAAAGTGTATATGCACAACCTAAAGAAGAAAGAATTTCTAAAACAGTATTTTTTTTTTTTTTACATTCTCAAAAGTGCCAGTAGGTGTCTTCAGTTTTATATTTAGACGTCAGTGTGTTTACATGTACTGTAACCTGGTTCTTGGAAATCCACATATACTGCAGCAGGTCAGAGATCAGACTTCTCACCTACACCCAACCTTATATGGAAGCATGGCATTCTCATTTACTACTTACTACTACATATACTAACTATAGTCGGTTGTCTGTTGGACATAAAACAGCTTTTCCTCACAGCACGTGTCAGAAATTGTCACAAGCTCAGCAGTGGAAACAGACGTATTTAAACTACTAGAAGCTACTTTGTGTTAAAAGTTTTAGTCGGACTTTGGATGGAATTATTTAGAATTAAATCAGAGATTTTCTCTGAATTTCTCCATTTTAGAAGAGGAGAGAGCAACAGCAATCTACTACAGTATATTAAGGATGTCACAATACCAAAAAGCTGTGAGAGGATGTCCATGACAGATGAGAGGTGGTTTGATGTCAATATATTCATAAATGAGCAAACTGTTGAAATTACAATCTTGCACTGTGCATGTTTCATTTTTGCTTAACTTTTCTTTACAAACTCACAGGTATGAAATTTCTGAGTGTGGTCTCTATCTATATTGGCAGTTGTCTGAGATTTTATATTGAAAACCAATGTGTCCCTGCTCCAGAGGTGTGCGACCGCTGACATGTATAGCAATTGTAAGTCGCTCTGGATAAAAGTGTCAGCTAAATGAATGTATGTAATGTAATGGACATAAAATAGAACAAATAGCGCTTGGTGGGTTAGCTCAATGCAAGTCCAGTAAATTCAGTGACTTTGCATGTTTATGTGCCTTTTTATAAAGAAATGTATTTATAATCATTTTTCATAGTTGCTCTGTAGTTTTAATTTAAAGACTGAAAAACGTGTGTTGCAGAATTGTGCTATTTTCTAACAGTTTGGATTTGCTGCAAATGAATAGAGAACTTTTTCACAGGCATTTTATATTCATAGAAATCGTGGTGTATCATTTTAGGATTGGACACTCCTACTATTGAAGGAAATAGACTTCACCTTGGGTTGATCTCTTTTTCTATTCAACGAGTCGAGGCGGAGCTGTTGCAGCTGCGCTCGCTATCTTCCATGTATTGAATCTCCGGTACCTTTGGTACATAGCAAAATGTATGTTGTTTTTTTTCAGAATTTTGGTATGAACTTGGTACTGAAGTATCGGTCATCGTGACATCCCTACAGAATATGTGTAGCCGTTTTATTGCACATTAAATGCAATGTCTGTTATTCGTTATGAAATGTATTGGAGATTGGACAAAGCTCCCATCGTCTCTCCAGCTTCCTGAGATGGATCATTGAAATGTTGCCCTCCTCTCCCTTGTTCAGCCCCCGGAGCAACAGATTGTGGTGGGGATCTGCTGCATGATGAAGAAGTCCAAGTCTAAGCCAATGACCCAGATCCTGGAGAGGCTGTGCCGGTTTGAGTACATCACTGTGGTCATCTTCCCAGAGGACGTCATCCTCAACGAGCCTGTTGACAAATGGCCTCTCTGTGACTGCCTCATCTCCTTCCACTCCAAGGGTACAACACACATGCACCCAGTGATTCTTGTGTTTTTAGTTGTTAGATATGAATTTTGTCTAATGTGTGTCCTATAGAGGCGATATCTGTGCCTAAAGTTTGTGCACTGAATCAACTGCCATTCCATTTAAAATAATGAAAAGAGTTCCTGTCTTGTAATGCAATACCAGCATTGCATTCAGTTCATTAGTCATTCTGTCTGCAAATTTGAGTCTACAGTATCTCAAGTGTTTCTAAGTGTATGGCTACACTCTCTCAGTAGACATAACTCTGAACTTGTCCCCCCCCCCTGCTGGTAATGTCAAATTATCTATGAGCTTTATTAATGGAATCATTTCTCTAGGGCTCTACCGTATAGTTTGAAGCTCCTTTCATAATGTTGACATTCAAATTCTAAATCAAGATTTGAATGCCGCTTATGCTATGAAAACGTGCTAGAGACCAGGTTACATCGCTGCCTCCGTCTTTCTCCTTTAACTTCTGCATGTGCCACAGATGCATAGCTGCAGGTTAGTGTGTCTGCTTGACCGAGGGAGGGGCATCCACACTCCCTATCGCCGGGTGGCGCGTGGGTGTGGCCTTCATTTGCGACCCATATTGCAACTGCCATGAAACAGTCGCTCTGTTTCTTTGATTTACCGCTTTACTCTCGCCAGTGCCACTCGTCCTCCTCATTATCAAGCTTACTTGACCACCGTTGTCCTGGGGCCAACTTTGAATGGCATATCCTACTTATTCATTCTTTTTAAGTTCAGTGTGTAAATTTTTGTGGCAAATTGCAACCAGTGGCTCACGGTGCATTCACGCGCTCCTCGGACGATCCCATTTCCCTGAGCTGTGAAGTCGTTCTTCTGACGTCAGTGTGTGTTCAAGTGCTCTTAAGTCGGAATGTGGGATCAACATGGACGCTACTACAAAGACGTGTTGTATTTGTATTATCAGAGCATTTAAACAACACGCAGACATCTAGTTCACTACTACAGGGACAGCAAACTAACTGTTATAACCATCAAATTACATGTTTGCACTGTATGTATATGCAATACGTGATTTTGCACGAATCAAAAGTTTCTACACATTTTGCTTCACATACTGTGCAAATACTTAAAGTGCATATTTCCTGAGCTCTGTGTGAAATAATAAAAAAGAGCTGCTAATTCCACTGTCTTGATCTGCTACTCTACTGCTTCTGCACTCCACACAGACCAGCTACAGCAACCCCAAAGAGTCAAAACTCAAACCCAATATTCCCAGTGGCCTAAAAATACAGCTATCAGTAGGACCAGAAAGGGAAGCACAATGCTGTATCACTGAACAGTTATTAATATAATGTGATGTACAGATTAGACTTAGGTGGTACACAGCAATTTGTATTATCAGTAAAAGTAATAGTTAGACAGATATCCTGATGTATCACTCGATTATCACAGAATTGCTGTATCATGATATTATTGTTATCGTGAGCCGTGTATCGCATTGTATCCTGAGGTACCCTGCGATTCCCACCCCTAGTCATGACATCATGAAGTATGATGACAGACATTGGAAGCTTAATTTGAATATCTCAATTGAAGCTTTCAATGTAAAAATCTATATTCGGTACAGCTCTATATTTCTCTGCATGTAAACCAGGATTCCCGCTGGATAAGGCAGTGAGCTATGCCAAACTCAGAAACCCGCTGCTCATCAATGACCTGAACATGCAGTACTACATACAGGACAGGTAATCCAACATACCATAACTGTATATTTCCAGTATTGGTAGAAGTTATGCATGCAAAGCGAAGTAGAGGCTTCAGGATACAACAACCAAATGTTATGTATGTATTTATTGGTTATTTTATTTATTTTTAACAGGAGAGAGGTGTATCGCATCCTGCAGGAGGAAGGGATTGATCTACCACGCTATGCTGTGCTGAACCGTGACCCGGATAAACCAGATGGTCAGTCTGCTAGCGCAGTAGTAATATTCGATTAGTTATTAATCCAGATATATTTTTTACTTTACTACACTTAACATTACATGGAAAACACAAGCAAAGCTAACTGTATTCACTGCACATATGATTTAAGTCTTAAAGCTTTTTGTTTATCTGGAAAAAGCTCTCTATGAAATCGCACCCTCTCACCATCCAGCATCCTGAGGCCATTAATTCAAGACTGCATTGGTTTTATTTCAGCTTGTGGATAAATATAGTATCAAATGTGAAGCAGTTGCAAGTGTACCATACTTAAGTGCTGTAATATGATGGGCTCTACCAGTCAAATCCTGTTTTGACACAGTGACGAAGAGACTGTCCCTGGACTGATAAACGATCAGATGTTTTATGTCTCTGCCTTCCTTGACATTAATGTCCTCAATGTGTTTTTGAACCTCACAGGGCTTAAGAGTAAACACTCAAGTGTCATCTGTGTATATTTATATATTTATAAGGGGTAATTAAGAGGAGCTTTCTGGCAAACCGAAACATTTGCTGTGTTTGTGTGTCTCTCTCTCTCTCTCTCTCAGAGTGTAACCTGGTCGAAGGAGAAGACCATGTGGAGGTGAACGGAGAGATATTCCAAAAGCCCTTTGTTGAGAAGCCTGTCTGCGCTGAAGACCACAATGTCTACATCTACTACCCCACCTCTGCCGGGGGTGGCAGCCAGCGACTCTTCAGAAAGGTCCTAAAAACACTAATATCCTACACTACTTCAGTTAAAAGATTGGTAGCAAGATGGGATGAAAACTGACCACTAATTACAAAAATGTCCAAACTTGTGTTGTGCATTTTAACACCAGTTAACACTTTCAACAACCATTAAACTATTACTTAGTTGTTAATGTTGTAGCTAAAACAGATTCATCATTATTGGTTGCTCTTGCACGGACACACAATTAAAGTGACACGCCAGTCTGTTTTTTTTCACTCTAATTTATGGTTTTGGCTCGTTAGGCTTTGATCTGAATTTGCTTTTAGACTCAAGCCCTTGTGCACTCGTGTGTGCCTGAAGTACAAGCACTCATGTTATATTTGGAAAAGTTATAGGCCTGGGGCTGCTCCTGACATTTTGAATGTACCCCTTCCTTTTATCTGTTCAGTAATAATAGTAACTGTTAATCAGCTGAACTTACACTACACCCCACCAGGCATTAACCTGCACCACTTAATAGATTCTCTTGTAACGGTACATGATTCCATTGCTCTGCCAGAGAAAAAGTGTTATCATGCATCAGGCACACCCAAAATGGAGGTGCTGCCTTTAATTTAGATCGTGATGCGTGTTTTAGAAACTATTCAGAGTGCACAGTTGCACTTGTGGCTCAGTTTTTTAATCTATAAAAAAAGCTTTCGCCTGACCATTTTTTGTTTTGTGTAGATCGGGAGCCGGAGCAGTGTGTACTCACCAGAGAGTAGTGTGAGGAAGACGGGCTCGTACATCTATGAAGAGTTCATGCCAACAGACGGCACCGATGTTAAGGTAGGGAATGGAAAGAGTGTTGATTTATTTTGACTGGAAACCACTGAGTGACTCAATTCTGATATGAAATGAATATTTCTTTCAAGTGTGTGAGACTCTTGAAAGAAAGAAATCCATGGCCCTTATTAAGTAATAACTTTAAAATAACTTTTTATTATTACTTTCACAAATTATTTAAATATTAGCAGATAGATAGACTTGCGTAGTGGGACTGTCTATTTCAGGTCGAGCCCCTGATTCTGGAAGTAACATGATGTCACCTTTGTTCTCACCATTTCCATGGTGAAGAGGCTTATGAATATGGTGGTATTTTGACTTTGACTCAGGAACGAAGTTGAAATAATTAAAACTAGTGGCCAAAACAAAAACCTGTAGGCATGTCATTTTTTCCCTGAGAGTCACGGATTTCTATGTTAAGTGACATTGTGGACATTGTTAAAAGAAGAATTTGAAATGGAGTGAAAAAACACTTTTGGAACCAGCTGCCTCCCTCCCATGTCACAACTCTATTGTGGTAATATTTGTTCGATATTTGATTAGGTGCAACTAGGGTTGCAAATTTTATAAATTTTGATTGATCGATCATTGGTAACATTAATGATCAATCATTGATTAATCATAATAAAAAACTATTTCTATACCAAACACATTACCAAGGGCTTTTTCCTCAATCAAAGCTATATTTCCTCAGGAACATATTGCATATTCTCTGACAGCGTGTAAAGCCTATTCAACATACTGTATAATGACATAGAGGTCTAGAGATATTAAACACATATGGGCTAATTAAGTATCACATTACATGCGGAGCGCGCTAATAAAAACACTCTCTGCTACCATATAACCGTAGTCTTGTAAGAAAGACTCTCATAATCAACCAAATGTGATGAACAAATACAACCTTATAATAAGTTATCTCTTCCTACTTGTTCTTGTTGAGAAAAATTAGCATGTCGACATGGTCGGGTGTCAGACGGGAACGCAGCCTGGTTACAATCACTCCCGCGGCTGAAGACACTCACTCGGATGGTACTGGTGTTGCGGGTATGCAGAGGTACTGGCGGGCCAACTTTGCCAGTCTGGGAAATCTCTTGCGTTAACTTTCCACCAGTCTGTTGGCTTTGTATCAAGGGGTGTTGAGTAGGCTACTGCTTCCCCAAAAGTAGAGCCATCGCTGAGGCCTCACCTACGCCTGCAGCTTCTTCTTTCAACTCAAAATGGTCCCATACAATAGTTCGTTTTGTCTGCTTCATTTTCAAAGTTGCCGCTATCTTCCAGAACCCAAGCTGGCTGCCTACTAGTGCCTAGTCATGAAATGGATGGAGATGCATGTTTAGGCATATAGGCTATTATTTATTTGATAATAAATCAATACAATTCTCGTTTAATTCAATTAATTAATAGATCCTCGATTAATCATTACCATCCCTAGAGCAACCTATAGAATCAGCCGTTAGATTGAGGATGATTGGTGGTTATGGGCGTTTCATGTGACTCAGGTGTACACTGTGGGACCGGACTACGCTCATGCCGAGGCTCGGAAGTCCCCTGCTCTGGACGGGAAGGTGGAGAGAGACAGCGAGGGGAAGGAGGTCCGCTACCCAGTCATGCTTTCAGCCATGGAGAAACTGGTGGCCCGTAAGGTCTGCCTAGCATTCAAGGTAACCAAAGTCTGTGATTAAAATCTGGTTTGTCCCAGTTTACTTGTTCTTCGCTGTGGAGTTAAATTGTTACTGTTGCATCTCAACAACAGTGAAAGACACGTGTCCTCCTCTCCTCTCACTGCAGCAAACTGTGTGTGGCTTCGATCTTCTCCGAGCTAATGGACACTCCTATGTGTGTGATGTCAATGGTTTCAGTTTTGTGAAGAACTCCATGAAGTACTATGACGACTGTGCCAAGATCCTCGGGTACCGCATTTATTTTTTGTCATTCCTCGTCCACTTTACCGTTTTCTTCTGAGATTGCTTTGGTTCATTTCTCATTCAGATCTGATGATTGCATTTGTGTCTCTCTAGGAACATTGTGATGCGTGAGCTGGCTCCTCAGTTTCAGATTCCTTGGTCCATCCCTACTGAGGCAGAGGACATCCCCATTGTTCCCACTACATCAGGGACTATGTGAGTGATAACAGTAGTCAAAACAGTTTGGCAGTAGTAGTTCTAGTGAAACTGTCCTAAAGGACTGTGCTGACTACATATTATCATAAAATGGTACTGGAGTGTGGTTAGCTCACGTGGTAGCCCCATGTACAAAGCGGCCTTAACGCAGCGGTGCAGCCTTTGCTGCGTGTCGCCACCCGTTTTTCTTCCTGTTTCCTACTGCTATCCACTGTCCTAAAATTTACTTTAATAGGTTAACCAACTAACATCTAATTACAACAATTTAACATTTATTTTTAATTTATTTGAAGGATATAGATATAAAGATAACTTTGGTGACTGGGGTGCAGCTGAAGAAAGAGAAATTGAAAAGAAAAAGGAGAAACGGCACAAGGCGTTAACACCGGGAGAATGAAATCAAAAAGAAGAAGAAAAAGAGATAAACAGGGTTTTATGAGCTGAGGGGATCAGAAATATAATTTTTCATAACCCTTGTAAACCATGTGGATCGTTTATGCCACTGCTGTTGACACAAATAGCCTAACTTACGTTTTGGTTATGCACTTCCTTGTGTTATGGGCATTTTAGAGGTGGCTGTCCCTCACTTATCTCTTTTTTCCCCAGCATCTTCTTGATGATTCTGCCCCTAATAAAGGGGTCAGACACAAGCCAGAGACTGTGGGTGTTGAATGCAACCAATCAAGGGAGGGGAGACATCAACCACTGTCTATTTCATCCACACCTCCAAAGTCTCAAAAGTGAACGTGACAAGTGTGTGTGTAGGGAGGATAGAGCTCACGCGTGTCACTCCCCTGTGCTCGCAGGACTGCATTTTTGAATGCAGAGCAGAAATCCGGGCTCGCAGCGATGTTTTTCCGCTCGCAGATAGTGTTCTGTGGGGTCGTGTCACATTTATCACGCATACCTGGTGATACCTGTTTTTTATGTGCGCAGGTTTTGAGACTAATTAAACACTGTAGTTTCCTGGTTAACTGCTGTATAGATTACAGTCTCCAGGAGGTTGAGTCGGAAATGGGAAGAATTAAGACGTTCTTCCAATCGCTGAAATAGCCTCCTTCTCAAAAATGTAGCTGCTGTATTTCAAATAAACAATTAAGAAGAAGACTGTAATCCCAACACAAAGAGTCTGGTTAGTTTGTTAGCTCTTAGTATTTTGGCTTTGCAAAATGCACCCATCTTATTTGTCCTTTTCAAATTAATAGATTAAGATTGTATTCTTACAGTAGTTTATACTGCGTAACCTCTTTGTAAATGTTGTATACAGTTTTATTTTTGTCATCAAGACCTGAGAAATAACTGTATTGATTGATAAAAGAAGAGTATATTTACAGGATGGTACTGTTGATGTTGACTTACTCTTGCACTCTTCAGGATGGAGCTACGCTGTGTCATCGCTGTCATCCGACATGGAGACAGAACGCCCAAACAGAAGATGAAGATGGAAGTTCGCAACCCCATGTAGGTTATCTCGGTTATTGCTTTCCTTTTTTACTGCAAAGACGATTAAAGACTTTTTATTAATTTGAAGTTTGTCTCGGTTTCTCTTCCAGGTTCTTTGACCTATTTGAAAAATATGGAGGATACAAAACAGGGAAATTAAAGCTGAAGAAACCAAAACAACTGCAGGTAACAATACGGCCGACAAAGGCATAGTCGGGTATCTCCCAGGCCGTGTGTGATTAACTTTGTGTGGACCGCCATAAGATCTCTTGTTACTCTGAACCTGAACAGGAGGTGCTGGACATCACACGGCAGTTGTTAGCAGAACTAGGACAGCACAATGACTGTGAGATAGAAGAAAAGAAGTCCAAACTAGAGCAGCTGAAGACGGTTCTGGAAATGTGAGTGAACTGGGTCACTTTATTAACAACTAGTTCCTGATCTCATATTCATTTAATTAATTTCTAGGTCATTCCAGCAAATTGTTTTAAACCATGCTAGACAGCAAAAATTAATTGCTGACTTTCAATCCATACTGTTTTTTTGTGTTTTTTTTAAACAAACTGCAAGAAATCCAAAGTATGCTATAAAATTATAATATGATTAATTATTAGCTTGGTAAATGATATGGGAAGCCTCAGTTTCTGAAGCTCACCTTCCAGTTGGTGGTTTGGAAGGTGTTTCCTAAGTATGTCTTTGGCTTCCTCCCGTGCTTATGACAAATGAGTTTTTAAAAGGTCACTATCTGCCATACACAACTCCAAGGGGATTTTATGTGCTATGGCTGTTACAGCTCCAGTGCATGTCCTGTAAACAGCCTGAGAACACTGAGAAAGGAAGGCAATCATCTTTCTCAAACCTTTTACATGTCTGGATATTGTAACGGCATGTGTCAAAGGAAGTTTGTGCACAACTACAGTGATGTATTCTTAAAACCAGTAGTCTAGAATATGTGTCTGCAAAGCTGATTATGACAGATTGAATGTTTACTAACATGAAACTGCATATCCTGGCCCTGTTTCTACACCAGTCAACACCACCTTGTTACTACTCATCGTCATCATTAATAATGGCAAGCCCCCATTTTGTTATCAGAGATATAAGGCGCACAACCTTGTTTACCCATAAATAGCTTTAGCTTGTAATGATTGCAGATTTCTATTTTATTTTATTGCTAATAAAGGTATGGCCACTTCTCGGGGATCAACAGAAAAGTGCAGCTAACTTACCTGCCCCATGGGCAGCCCAAAACCTCAAGTGAGGAAGAAGGTAGGAAGATACTTCATCGCCACATATTTCACCGCCTACTCAAAATAGTATGTTGCCAAGCTCAAGCTGGCTGAAACACTGAAGTGACGGCTTACTTGGTTTTCAGACACACGTAAGGAAGGTCCGTCTCTGCTGCTGGTGCTGAAGTGGGGAGGAGAGCTGACTCCTGCTGGCAGAGTACAGGCTGAGGAGCTGGGAAGGGCCTTCCGTTGTATGTACCCTGGAGGACAAGGTGAGACACACAGCAGTGTTTTCTTGCTGAAAAAATGTCCTGTAGTATTTTCATTCCTCTAGCTGTTATAAAAAAAAACCTTCACTTCCACCTGCCTTTCCAGACACCTTTATTCATTATTATTACATACAGTCTATATAAACACCTATTATAAAGCATCAATCTAATGTTCTGTTATACTATACTAGTTATGCAATAAAAGTAATTAATTTCTGTAATTTACTATCCTGAAATAAGTTTGTATTTTAAATGCTATGCTGCCCAAATACAGCTCATCTCTCTGTCTGTCTCTCTCTCACTTGTTATTCACGGCTGTTAGCATTACTTACTTGCATACATCTGGTTTAACACAGTGGGATTCTTCCAGGAAGATGATGGTTGTTTAGGCTCTTTAGCAGAGAACATGAGATGTTAGGGCAGAGGTGTTAACAAAGAAAACCAGGACAAGGAAAGTGATACTTCATTTAAGCAAGGCAAACAATCGCAGCATATTTTAGCACAGTTGCAGATGGGTGTGAAGTCAGTGCCAGCACAGTTTAGGTTTATCAAAGAAGAGATCCCAGTTAATACCAATACGAGTCAGTTAATACCAGTGTGGTAAATACAAAAGTGACTGTTTGTCCAGGTAATTTTGCAGCAAGTTTACAGTGACTTTCAAACCAGCATGGTGTGCGTCAGTGTATAAACTAATGTTGTTTGCACTGTTTATTTGTAGGAGACTACGCTGGATTTCCAGGCTGCGGGTTACTGCGTCTACACAGCACCTACAGACATGACCTGAAGATATATGCATCTGATGAAGGCAGGGTGCAGATGACGGCTGCAGCCTTTGCAAAAGTATGCAATGTAGTATTCTAAGAGCTCCATACAAGATATAAATCAAGTAGTTACCTATTTCTTAAACAATTACAGGAGGTACATCTTCATGTTTAAAGAAGTGTCAAGCTGTGTGAGTCTGGAATTAATACAAAATACTGTGTAGTTTCAAACTGGAATCGACATCTTAGTTGAACAGAAAGAAAAAAGGGCCACCTGTAGAATCTCAAACGGCATTAACAGAAAGGCAAGAGATTCTCAGAGAAAAGCAGCTGCAAAGGAAAGCAGTTACTAATTATTTCAGAGAACAGCTTCTTGAAATGAGAAAGGCCTGCTGAGTGATGTCCAGTAATATCAGCTGTTGATGTGTAACAACTGGGAAACTAAACTGTTGCCATATTATTTGGTAAAATCAGTTTGATACAGTGCAGTTCTATAGTGTAGAAATAACAAGATTATAAATGTTCCGTGGTATTTTGTGTCCCAGTAATAAGTAGTAATATCAGGGCCTGCTAGTTGTCCGTGGTGAGCTATTAAAGTATTGGTCACACTGTTAACAAATTATCTAATCATCACCTTGCATCGAGGATGTTGCCAAAACAAACCACTTTGTTTTGTTTGTGGGTCTGTGTGAGCAGGGTTTGCTGGCTCTGGAGGGTGAGCTGACACCCATCCTGGTGCAGATGGTGAAAAGCGCCAACATGAACGGGCTGCTGGACAACGACAGTGACTCACTGAGCAGCTGCCAGCACCGCGTCAAGGCCCGACTCCATGAGATTCTGCAGAAGGACAGGGACTTCATCGATGAAGACTTTGATCGGGTGATTAGCCAGCTGTGTTGAACACTGTCAGCTAAACATTTGTCCGTCCTGTGAGGACCGGAAGAAAACAGCATTGAGAAAAACTGTTTGTTTTTGGTTTTTTTTGGCTGCTATGTTTTAGATCAGCTGCTGTATGCACAATAATTTACAGATTAACACCTTTTTTTAAGAACAGACACAAAAAGATACAAAATGACTGTTATGCTAATAATTATTGGGAAACCAGAACACATGAGCCTGATAAATGATTAAAAACCTACTTTTCATTTATATATGTGCCTTAAATCCCCAGAAATTCTACATGCAATGACTATGCTATTCAGGCACGCATTCCTTAACTACATATGTTGAGCTGCTCACAGGCGCAAGTACTGTACTTTATGGTTATACTTTGAAGTTTACATGTTTGTATGCGTGTTGAAAATCATACCACTACAGCAGCTACTCCTCCCAAGCTGTAGCTTTAAATAGTATTGCCTCCCTTTTTTTTTTTTGGAAAATGTTTCCCACAGTTACTGTTAGACTGAGAGGATGATATGTAGAGACAGGGGGTAACCTTTTAACCTGGGTGCCTAATGGTCTGTGGCCATATCTCCTTTGATCATTCGGAAGATTACTAACCTGCCATAATGAAAGCCGAAAGGATTGTATTTCTTGAGCTAACTGTTTGCAGATTAATTATATCAAATGACAAAGTCGCACAGATTTGTACAGTCTAGCAGCTTTGGGCTTATTTGCAATGTGAAAGTAGTCCTTTTTCGTGTGTTCGGTCAGGTGTAATGGGCTTTTTAACGAAAGTGCTTATTGGTGTGTGTGTGTGTGTGTGTGTGTGTGTGTGTGTGAGCTGGCCCCAACCTGTAGCATCTCTTTGGTGAATTCAATGAAGATAGTCCAGAACCCGGTGGCCACATGTGACCAAGTCTATGCCCTCATTCAGAGCCTCACCTCCCAGATTCGAAAACGGATGGAGGACCCCAAGTCAGCTGGTGAGTAAAATCTTCTGTCAAGCTTTTTATTTTTGGCATACCACATGTGCAATGAGAAGATAAAAAAAACCCAACACATTTTGTATCTTATCAGATACACAGATTTTTTGGATTTTCACAGGTTTTAAGAGGTTTTGTGTCTACTCAAATAGATTAAAAGAATTTCATTGTGGCCCTCAAAGCACTGAAAAGTGACAGCAGCGCGTCTTTACCAAATCAATATCTTGATACTGTACAACAGTTTTTACTGGAACTAACTTCAAAATAAAATTGAGTTTGATATCAGCAGTACATGCAGTGAAATTCTTAAAATCTTCTCATCTTTCACCAGACCTGCAGCTGTACCACAGTGAGACACTAGAGCTAATGCTGCAGCGCTGGTCCAAACTTGAGAGGGACTTCCGGATGAAGAACGGGCGCTACGACATCAGTAAAATACCTGACATTTACGACTGCGTGAAGTACGACGTCATCCACAACGCTACTCTGGGCCTGGAGGACACGCTGGAGCTGTTCAGACTGTCTCGAGCTTTGGCCGACATCGTCATCCCGCAGGTGAGAGCGAGGAGGAGGAGGAAGGAGAGAGTTGGAGGGTAGAGAGGACAGATCATAATTATCAAAGGAGGGTTAAATCAAGGGCAACTGGACGATACATGAAGAAGTTTCGCCTTTCATAAGTTCTACCTGACTGGCAGGGAGTCCCAGGTATTTAACCTCTGTAGTTTCATTGTCAGAGTGATGGATACCACTTGGTTCGTTAGTGCTCCTGGCTGTAACGTCGTTGAAATTGTCATATGATCCTAAACGTGAGTGAGTGTTCAATGTCCTGGGAAGGGATCAAAGGACATCATTGTAAGGGGCATAAGTGGTGTCCCAAACCTAGGGCTGGACGATACGGCCAAAAATGTTATCGCACCAAAAAGTTTCATATCTTTCGATATCGATAATTATCACGATAAGTATCAAATCGTTATTTCTTTCAAGTTTAAAGGCTGATTTTTGGCTCCTGAGTGAGTCTGAGTTGGAGAACCCTGATGGTTAATTGGTTTAAACTCTTCTTTATGGGCAACACTTTGAAACAATTATTTTAACTAAATTCATAAAATCTTTGTCAACCAATATGTGCGAGTAAAATTAAGTAAAAGCTTTTTTCAGTCCTTTTTCCTCTACAAAATAAACATCTTAGTAAAAAAAATAAGTCCTAATTTGTGTATGATTCAAGTGAATAAAATAAAAATTTTATTGAATATTTATTCAACATTTGTTATGTTGTTATTGAAAAAAAATATATTGCGATAATTATTGTTATTGTTTTATTGTCCAGCCCTACGCAAACCTTGACGCCTGTTGAGAGATGGTCTCTCTACTTTGGTGTATATGGCTTATTTCACTCACCTTTCAAACCATCTGTCCTCCCTGTTTAAAACATGAGTTAGCCCTTCTGTGTTGAGCCATGCGTTTGTGTAGTGGTTTAGTTTCCCCAATATACAGTTTACAGTTTACAATATACAGCTTTTGTTGTGTTTGGGTATGCGGTGTAGTGTTGGTGTTATTCCTGTATCTTGTGGCTGTTTTCACAAAGAGTCCGCCTAGGCTCCATGGTGAAAGGCACAGAGCTGGAATGATCCTGAAGAAGGCACAATACTCGCTACTGAATGAGAAAGTGAGATCCATCCACAAGAGTCTAGCAGTTTACTCCACAAACTGGAAACTCATCTGTCCAGTGTAGGAGAAGCTCACTGATTTCATCAAGAAAGCATATCTATCTCAACAGGCCAAAAGCAAAGAAAGACACACAAAGGAATTCCAAAAACTACAGTCACGAGCCGGCAATATGAAAGCAAAAGAACTTGGAGGCAAAAGACTGATTATTCCACACTGCATGAAACACACAACAGATAGGTGGAGAACCTGTCAGATAGGGAACCTACCCAATCAGAGAAAGATGTCCTAGCCAAAGGATTAAACTTTGCCATCACACCACGTCAGCTAAAAATAGCTGATCTCTGGATGGTGAGGTTGAAACCCCCTTCCAACCTCACCATCCAGGAAAGGAAGGCTCTGACGTCACCGGGCAAGGATCAAAACATCACTATTAGGCCTGCAACGATTAGTCGATGTAATCAACGACGTCGACTATAAAAATGTCGATGTGAAATTTCATTGTCAACGCATCGTTACATAGATGGCGTTTAAGCTTCATATTAGGAACATTTCTGGTTGTTTATTTCTAACTGTAATGCACTACAGGAAGTGCTGGGGGTAGTATCGCTTCCACTGTCTGCCATGACTGCTTGACTGTAGAAGAAGCATTCATGTGAGAAGCGCCGGAAAGTAAAGGAGAAAGAGGCGAACAGCAGAACGGCTGTTATTTTTTAAAGTTTGTACACTATTTATTTACTAAATACACTTTTGAGCGGTTTTGAGTAGAGAAATCACCTGTGTAGAATTTGAATATTGGCAGTTTTACCAAAGTTGATGGCGAATCAAAAATGTGCTCAAACGTTTTCGGGGTTGAGAAGCTCCACAAGCGCCCGCAGGGTTAGCAGTGGCGGCCGGCCAGTCACGCCCACAGAGCGCCCTGGTTCCAGTAACTCAGACCACTGCAGCAGCAACAACGGAGCAGCAGAGACAGAGGAAAGGCAGTGTTTCCTATACGTTCATTTCTTTGTGGCGGTCAACGCTGACTGCCACATACTGATTTTCTTTTTTTACTAGGCCTATTTAAAATCTTATTTGATTGCAGATCAGCGCATTCGCACAGCACATCTCTCTCGCTCGTCTCTCTCTCTCATAAACACCGCAGCACAAATCTGTCCAACACAACGCTGGCAATGTCGGAGACACAGCTTTAAAAAAGTTATTAGTAATCAGTATTGGTTTAATGTAAATCAAGGAACATCTGGCTCGAGATGTAGGCTACTGAACATTCTCCACTGAGTTATTGTCTAAAACTATAGACTGTATATAAATAAACCCATAAGCACTTTTGAAAAATAAACTACAGAAGTAGTATGTAAGGGGACTGTTGCTTCATTATTCTAAATAGAAATTACATTGTTAGTGTACAGTTGTGGTTATAGTACTTGCTTTTAATTTGCTTTAGTTCCAAAGCAGAAATCTCAGTTAAAAGTTTTAAAGTGAATTATAGGAGTAGTCCATGCTGTCTTGTCTTCTTCCCTGTTTTCCCCCTGGCGTTGATACTGGTGTTCATTCTGAATAGTAAACCTCTTTCACTTAATGGTAACGTTAGCTCGTTAGGCTGTGTGTTGGAGATCAGTAAATCATTTGAAAGATATTTAATTAGTTAAATGGTTTAATTAGGGTTAGGGGGTGACAAAAATAATCGTGACTGGTCGACTAATCGAATAAATAATGCCTAATCACTATTAGGGCTGAACGATTAATCATTTTGAAATCGAAATTGCGATTTGAAAGAACGCGATTAGCTGATCGTGAAGACGGCGATTAAAATGTAGGTTAATTATACAGCGCATCCGACAAGTTTTAAACATTCATGCAGTTAAAAATTCATTCCGTTGTCATCCTTCTGTGACAGATCTGCTCGCCAATCACAAGCGCCATGCGCCTCCTGTTATGGTCCTACTCACCAATCAGAGCGGGCACAGGGCGTGCACATTTTACAACAACAAAAGAAACGAGGAAAGCGTAGAATATTGAACTTTAGCTGAACTTTAAAAAAATTAAATAAAATAACATTTTTCACTTCCTTGAGACCAATGAAGTGTTTTAGTATATTGTGAAACAACAAATGAATACCCAAAGTTGTCAGAGCTACTGTATATCCACTTCAGCCGTAGTATTGTTAGAATTTCTGTTTTTTTTTTTTGCAGGAATATGGGATAAATAAAGTGGAGAAACTGGACATAGCATATGCCTACTGCCTCCCGCTGGTCAGAAAGATACAGCTTGACCTGCAGAGAACCCACGAGGACGAGTCTGTCAACAAGCTGCACCCTCTGTGAGTCTGGGATCAAGAGTCCCAAGAGTACATTTTCTTTAATACAAGGCTGTTGAGATGGTAAGACATGATGCAAAGTGTGTGGACCGACTGTTAAGTATATTCTGAAGCATCTAATACAGTGGTGTCTTATTCACAGGTACTCTCGCGGAGTGATGTCTCCTGGGCGCCATGTCAGGACACGATTATATTTCACCAGTGAGAGTCACGTCCATTCCTTGCTCAGCATTTTCCGATATGGAGGCCTACTTGATGTAAGCAATCAAATATCAGTCCTACAGAATATTGAGTGTTGCTCAGATTGGGGTAAAAGAGGACTTTCTTTGTTTGCGGCAGGAGGAGAAGGACCAGCAGTGGAAGCGTGCCATGGATTACCTCAGTGCCGTCTCTGAACTCAACTACATGACTCAGATTGTCATCATGTTGTATGAGGACAACAATAAGGTATTGATTTTTTTTGGTTAGCTATTTATTTTTGTAGTTTAAGTAAGCCGGTGTATCATCCAAGTAGCGTCTGTCTGTCTGTCTGGACATTTGTATACTTCTGGTTGTTGGCATGAACGAGGGTTGTTCCTCAATGTAAGCTGTAAGATATCAGAATGTATCATTCAGCTCGAAAACACTTCAAAACCATATCTCTGAACATCTGTGTTGTTTTTCTTAAAGGACATCTCCTCAGAGGAACGCTTCCACGTAGAGCTTCACTTCAGCCCTGGTGTCAAAGGCGTTGAGGAGGAGGAGAACGCGCCAACCGGCTTTGGCTTCAGGCCCGCTTCTGCAGAGGTAGCACGGCAGGTAGAATCGCATCCGAGCATTTCTGCCCAGTTTTTGTTTGCAGATATCAGCATGTGGATTATCTCTTTTTTTGTTTGTTTGTTTTTTTCTCTGCGCATTCAGAACGGGCAGAAGCAGCCTGACCCCGGCAGCTTGGAGGACCTCTCACGAGATGAGACCGACCGCGCCGTGCCGCTGTCTGAGCCAATCACTATTCAGAGGAAGTCCCCACTCATACGCAATCATAAAACGGGATCCATGGAGGTGATTCAGACTAATCCACATAGTCGTGCAATGAATCGCTGTCATTATACATTACACAATAATTGTATTTCGTTGTGGGTGTGGTCGTGGAAGGTTTTAGTTACTTATATTACATAATCAGTGAATTTTATAGATGCAGAGCATTTCTTCTGTGGTTTTGACCTCTCCTCTTGTCCAGGGTCATATTTCACACTCCAGCGGCCAGCAGTGTAGACTGGTGCAAGATATCAAATACATTCGAGCTGCACTGTTGCCACTGTCTGAGGTTTGTGTGCATATGTTCCCCCCCCCCCCCCACCAGGTTCTGTCTGAGACATCATCCTCCAAAGTAGGCAGTTATCGCCTCTTCTCGCTCTGCTCGCGTCAGTCCCCCGAGATGAAACAAAGTGGATTAGGTAGGTGTCATAATGCCTAGTTTCCATGGCAACCGTGTGTGGGGATGGGCGGGACAGGTTTTATAAGATGACTTTTGATCTGAGAGGACATTATCATTAAAGTAATTAATACACTCTGAGGGGCTTTATTCGCTGTGTGTGGAAATGCATGCAGGCGGCAGGGTTTCACATCATTTCTAAAGACTGAGATAAATATGTGCTTATCAATGAAAGACCCCAGATGCAAGGCACTTACTTTTGATAAAATGGTGGCTACATTTTATGTCTGTTTTTAGGATCTAAATCCGTTTCCAAAAACATTTTATATTGACAATATTCCAGTTTTGTAATAGAAATTTGGAATTTAAAGGCAGTACTTGCTTTAAAATGGTCCAATTACCAGGACAGAGATTATAGTCCTCCTTGAATAAAAGGTATTTTGCATGGTAATTCTCCATTTCAATATGTTATTTTAATTTCCAACTATTTAAATCTTTGTCTGGAAGATTGAGCCTCGTGTTTTTAAAATGGTCTCAACGTTCTGTTGTTTTGCATCAAGAAGTTAGTCATTTGTGATATTGTTTTCCAGTCCATCCATGTGAACTAAATGTGATGAAAAATATTTGTACAGTGGCATGTTCAGAGACTACTGAGGCGTTAAATTCTGTTCAGAGTAAAAGTGTTAACCTTTATGCAGCTCCTTCCAGGTTATTATTAACTCCTCTTTCCATCACAGTAAGCCTCAGATCCTTTCCCCGTTTCCCCCCCAATATAATCCTCATACAATGTAGTGGCTGTTAAAAGAAAAATCCACCCCAAGTTGCATTCCTGTGTCAGTTTTGTTGTTTGGTAGTAAGGTTTATTTTCACTGTCATGGCATGTGTGTTGAATTATATCAAGCAAAGAAACAGCGATGCAGTCTCAGCTGGCTACAACATCAGAGATAAACGTCACGTTTTGGTGCCCCAGAATTATAGAACAACCCCGTCTGTTTGCAGCTGCCATGTTGCGCTGTTGTTCAACAGTAAGACATTTTTCAGAGAAACGTCACCAAGGCCGATCTCGTTTTGTTTCTTTTGCCTCTTCACTATTTTTTTCTCTTTCTGTGGTACTCTTTTGCACTCTCTGCAAAATTACACACTTAATGCACTGAGTGTGTCACAAATTGGGAAGAAAAACTGTTAAAAGATTTCAGGGTGGATTTTTCCTTTTAGCCCCATAGCCTGGCATAGTGGCGAAACTTTAAAATCTGTCTCCAGCCTCTTGCGAGGAGTGTAGAGGTGGACAGAAAGTACAAAAAGCATGTTCTCCTCTGGGTCCTTGTGTTCGTCTGTCTTTTTCTCTGTTTCTCAGCCTCCTTTTCTCTCTGTCTTTCTCTGGATAGTTTTTTGAGTAACAGCATGATATGTAGTGGTGACTAACCCCCCCCCCGACCCCCCCCCTCGCAGGCTCTCAATGTGCCGGGCTCTTCAGCACCACTGTCCTAGGTGGGTCCTCTAGCGCCCCTAACCTGCAGGACTACGCACGTGCACATCGCAAAAAATTCTCCACTGGCAGTCTGTCCTACAAAGACGGTACGTGTTTGAGACCGCGCTCCATCACAAACCTGCACAGGGCAACAGCAGATCAGTGACACATTTCCTTTTAGTTTGACATCCTGAGCGTTGCCTGAATGGAAACTGGGCACATAAACATATAAAGTAGAAATGTGTACTGTAAGTAGGTTTAGCATGGAAAATTGATTAGTTACAGTAGTTAGAGAACTGATTTGGACTGGAAGAGTATGTGCTCTATGAGAAAAGTGAAACTCTGGAAGGAATAAATATCATGTATGCCCATACATATATTCTATAGTTATGTTTTTAATCATTTCTGTATAGTTAGACTTCATATTCATTCTAGCCACCAAAACCACTGGATTTTTCCATCTTTTTTTTTTTCTACGCTACTTTGAGTAAAATTAGTGTATTGCTTTACATGCTGCCTCAGGCCCAATTAAAACTTCCAAACAGACTTTAGACTACGTGTAATATGTTTGAAGACCACAACAACACTCATCACACTCATTTATTGTTAGACAAGTCAGCATTGGGCGTTTTGAGAGTTTGTTAGTTGAGCAGTTAGCGAATTCTGAAAAGCACACAATTTATTTTATTATATATTTTTTAGAACTACTGCATGTATGAAGCAACTGTTAATCAGTTTGTCTGTTAACTGTCCCTCATTCTCAAAAATCATCTTTCCATGTTTTGTTTTTCCTGCTGCATGGTCCATGGGTGCACTGACTTCCTATTACAGTCTGCTCTGTGTCAGATTTTCCCATGATTACAGTGAAATCTACACACTTAAGAAAGACTTGGTTATAGAAGAATTCTTCCAAGACAAACATGATAATCTGTCTTATAAACTCATTAATATATGTTGTGACTTATAAAGTCACATACATAGACTCATACAGCAATTTTACATTCTCATGTACTGTTTTTATTTGTGGCCTTTTTCTTTCTGAATATATTGGCCCTCTGCTGATGGAGTTAGGGCCGGAATCTAGGGCTGTAACTGTGTGCAGATATTATTCAAACACTTTTTTGAATAATATTATATGTGAAAATAAATCATAAACTGTCATTATTAAATCCACAGCTTAATTATGCATCATAACATGGCCACCATGCTTGGCCCTGATTGTTTATTGTGATTGTGGCCCTGATTGTTTTTGTATTGATTGTCCGTTGTCATGTCGTCCAGTAGATGTCACTGTGGTATTATACAGACACAAAGTCTGTTCTCAGTTGCCATCCTCCTGGTTGTCTCACATGTAGCCTTGCTGTTGGTCTTTGTCATCCATCTTGTTACACCTCATTTTCATGAATCAAAGGAAGCATTCTACTCTTGATGCAGTCGAGTACGCACACATTGTGCTGCTTCAGAGCATGCTCCTCCGTGAGTGTGATGTTGGCGTCACTGTTTCCATTTTTTTTCAACGCTGAAGCATCTTAATTCTGTTTGAGATTACCAGTTGATATTTTTCATTGTTGTCTCTGTGTCTCAGTACGTGACAGAGAACCGGATGAATGGCATTTAACTACTCACTGGGATTGTTGGTTATCTTGTCTTTAGCAGGAAGAGGAAAGGAAAGCACAAATTGGACTGGAATATTGGGCTTGTTTTTTGAAGATTTATATTTCTTGGTGTGTACTCTTCACATCCTAAGTTTAAAAACATCTCATCTCACTTTGTCGTCAGAAGGTGTTCATCCATGTGTTGCCCCACAGCCATCTTCAAACATCAGATATCTCTGTTTTAACGGTAACTTCAGTCAGGGCTTCTTCATACAGCTGGAACAGATTCAGGTTCTGATTCTTGAACCTCTCACTTGTATAGGTGTTGGTTGATCTTTCCTCTATTGCGTCCACATTAGAAAAGAACAGGGAAATGATAAAAACATGATATACAAGTTACTGTGGCTCAAAGTAACACTAGTGATTTTTTTTTTTTTCCTCAGAGTTGTTGTCTATGCCGGCAGTAAAACGATTTTCTGTGTCGTTTGCAAAGTATCCGACTAATGGTACGTCTGCTTCTTTCAAGTATTTTTCCACTTCACCCCCCCTTTGTCTTGCATGTCTTCAAACTTTTTTTTGACCTTGGGTTTTTTTTTTTCCACATGGCCAACAAGCATTCCAGCTTTCTGTAATTTTTTTTCTAGTTATTTAATTACTTTTTGTTTACCCATATGCTTTGTGGACTTTTCTAACACTACCTGACATTCTCTTTCTAACCAGGGTTCCCACTGGTCATTGTATTTTTGTAAGATATAAAAAATTAAGAGACAGGGAATGTCAGCGAATTTTTACAAAAGCCTCATAGTAGTGTAGCAGAAAGACATCTTCACACTATTTACTTTAATTTATTTTTAAAAACACAGTATATCAGCAGCGGGATAAATGGGATTGCTGTTCCCAAATTTTTACCTAAGTACAGTTGAAACCAAATACTCTGGATCAGTAAGTGTTTACATGTACTTAAGCGACCAGGTTACTGCCGGTTTTGTGCAGTACATTGAATTCTTAAACGCCATGTATATGAGAAATGTGGTTTCTCTGAAGGATTAAAGAAATTCCTGGCTGGGTTTCTCCTGGGGAAGGTCTATTTTTTGGGCATGTAATGCTCAAGTGCAACTGCTGCTCGGATATAAACTAACAGACAGATGGCCCCTTTAAAAAAGTTTTGCAGATAAGATCGACTAATTAACCAAAACAAAACAACAGACCTTTGCTAAACTTCAATATTTAATACCGAACAATATTGGAAAATAAATAATATAGCCACTGTAAATCCAGCCTGAGTCTGACTTGATTTTCGTTTGTAACCCAGTGTTTCGTTACTGCTGTGAGAGTGAGCCATTCTCCTCTTGTATTACGAGCCACACAAATATCCGTGGTTACTATGGCCTTCCCCCTGCATTCATCTGTCTGAATACTGAGGCTGTGTCCAAAACCACTTCCTCGTTCACTCATTCGCTGCTCCCAATACAACAGACACTCCGTAGAAAGCAGCAAATTGAGATTCCAGTCACTTACTAATCATCATCATTTTCTCATCTTTTTAAAATGCGGAGCATTGCATTGTGGGATTGTTAGCAGAAAGTAGTGTACACACCATGAACACTACTTTTTTCATCTGATTGTGGATTTTTTAAGGACTTTATATAGGGGACAAATTTACACACACAATTCAAACACTCAAATATAATGGCAGTGAGTGATAAAATAGTGCAGGGAGTGATTTCGGAATAAGTCTTGAGAGGTCAAAAGTCTACCATCATTTGTAGTATAAAGAACTACTTTATTGTGAGACCAACGTATTTTGGTGTGTGTCTTCTGCTTTACTGCCGGTGTTTTTCTTCTTCAAGTTATAACAGATATCATCTAAGTATTTTGTTACAGGGCCAGTTGAAAAAGCATTTCTGAAGATAAATGTCAAATATTTTTATAATATCATTCCCTGATTCATTAAAGAGCCACTTAAGTGTTAGACTTCCATAAAGTGTGGGGACTTGCAAGCGATAAAGAAGGTTCAGACCCTCAAACACTGGATCCTTCACTTCCAATCCAACGGAGTACTGTCCTTTGTTAGATCCTCCTTGACTGGTAAACATCGCCTTCAGTTTGTAGTGCAGTCTTTCTGTTTACAAGTTAGCCTCCAAACCAAGATAACCCTGGTCCCTCTAAACCAAGAAGACATTATACAACTGTTTTGGCTGAGTAGTATTCTCTGTGACTAGCTAACTGACCGTAATCAGTTAAAATCAGTGGCGTTCCCCTTTTATTTTAGAAAACCGATAAATAACAAGTCTTTTTTTGGTAATTGCAGCCAGATTCATCATTGCTATTTTTTAAAAAACTTTTAAATCTTCATCCCTCCCTCACTGTTATCATGTTTCAAAAGCAGTATAACAGTGCAAAGAGCCTTATGATGGACTGTTGTACTGAGCCAAGGGTGGGAACCCTGTTTAACATCCTGCATACAATTTGTAAATTGATCACCATTACCCAATAATTTAGTTGTTTTTTTCCCCCCCGGTGGACAGATCTGTGTGTGTGTGGGTGTGGGTGTGCGTGTGTACATAGTAATCACATAAAATACACACTTGTTCCCATCATTGTAGAGGATGTGAGTTGAGGTGTTAAAACGCCACCAACAGCACGTGAATGTTTAACCCTTCCTCTGACCTCAGCTTCATGACACTCCCTGTATGCTAACCTGTAATTTGTAACATTTCCAGTATATATCTTTGGATTAAAGGATGAATACGGATCAATCACAGCTGACTGAACCAGGATCAGCTCTTGGTGACAAACAGAGGAAGGGTTAAAGCATTGTTCATCCCATCTCCTGTGTCTGTTCTGAAAGAAACATCGGTCAGTTTTGTTTTCATTCATAAACACACTTATGCTTTTCAATGTTTTCAGTGCACAGATGTGGTTTCCAGTGTGTTCAAGACTTGAAAAAGGGGCAAATATTCAGTTATTAATGAAGAAGTGTAATGTCAGTGTTTGTGGCTACAATAGAATGTCTCCACTTTAGTATTTTTAGTGATTTTGGATCATTTCTTGACTGCAGACGGTGAGGCAGAAGGAAAGATTATTAAGATTAAAGTGGTTGTGAAGCTCTTATCTGTGTCTTTTTTTCCTGTCCTTCCACTTTGTCTGGAGGGAAGTCAGGACCCTTGAAAATGGATGGAATAAGCAAGTTTTGGTCAGTCGGGATTTTGCTCAGATCTGTTCGCTCGGATTGAAGTTGGATTGTTTCGTGTAGATAAATTGAGAGTTTTTGGTTGTTTAACTTGTCTGACTGGTGAAAAATGTTCATCCACATTCTCCAAATGTTTCGGTGAGCTACAGCATCAACCCAAGCAATAACGCCCCCCCCCCCAAAAATGAACACTTATACCATGTGCATACATTGAGGATAACTTCCACACACTATATTAGTATGTTTTTCTCTTACTTATATTATTCACCACAGGAACACAAGATGATATATCCACCACAGCAGTGGCTCCACCTCTCTGGTGCACTGCCACAGGTACAACAGCCCCCAGTGATGCTGTTTTGTGTTTGCACCAATGTCCAGCTGCAGCTTTGTGTAAACGGTACAACAAGATGACGGACGTTTGTTAACGTGGACACGAGATGTGTCTGCGCATTTAACAGCTTTCTGCAGTGTTTATTTGGAGAGTTTTCTGCGAGACTGTTTACCGCTTCCTGCAAATGTCTTGTGTCACACTTGCTCCTTTGTGGATTCTCCTTAATTGGATCAATGTTATTTTCAATAGTGTATACAGATTTTTAAAGTAAAATTGAGATACTGCAGAGGAGCAACATGATGTTTTTATTTTCGGTGTCTTGTTCTGAGCCGTGAAAGTTGCTTGAGATGATTTGCTGCTTCTTCTGATCGTTGGCTGTTTGGCGGCCAGGATGAGCTGTTGGCCACCTCTTTATACCACCACCTTCGTACGCAACACTTCCCCTCCCTCCTGTTTACTCTCTCTAAATCCCTCCCTTTCTCTCCAAACTCCCAAGTTTCCTCTCATCTGTATCTTACTTCAGCCCTTCTCTCTCTCTCTCTCTTCCTCCTTGCTCATATCCTATCATTTCATGTCATTTATACTCCTTCCTCCTCCTCCACTGCTCTGTCCTTCCTCGCTCTTCCTCTTCTTCCTCAGAGCCCTTGGAGGAGCATCATGTGGCCCAGTTGTTGAGGCGTTTCTCCACCGACCTTAGCCTGGGCCGCCACTTCTCTCTGGACAGGGCAGTGAGCCACCACCTTCATCAGTGCTCCTACCACCTCCGCCTCTTCCGAAACTGGCTCATCTCCGGCCAGGACCCCCTAGAGTACCTCCACGGTCAGCCCCTGGCCCCGCCCTCCATCCCCCCTGCCTCACGCCCTGTTCAACCACTGCTCACGGTTTAGTTGGGACTGCGCTTGTTCTGTGGTTGACTCTCATGCTTTGCCTCTTGATGTTTCTGCATGCTTGCCTGTTTCTTTGGTTATGCAGATTGCGAGCTGAGACTTCAGGTCGATCCCACTTCTCACTCGCTGTTGTAAAAGAACATGTACACTCCCCCAAACTCAATATTACTGAGCTCAGTAACAATGGCTTGTACATCATGAATTTTAAGTGGTGCAGTTATGCCCACAGTAAAACAGCAACACACATCTTTTCTAACCCTAACCCACTAATGTTTCAATACACTGCAGTGATCGCAGACTGAAATGCATCTGTAGCAGAAAGTATCAAACTGTCAGCTGTAAAAAGTCATCGTTGAATGCGCGTCATGTTCTTAGTCTCTGATCGGACTTGTCCTGATCTAAATCCGGAAACGTTGCTAATTTTAGACAATTATGTTCAGGCTAAATCCTGCTGCTTGTGTTTATGCAATATTAAACACTGATGCACTGAGAAGTTTGGTGCATTTTTAACGTAAAGGAAGAGTTTTGTAGAAAAAACGTTTACATTCCTCACACTATTGGTCTCTCAGGTATACCCACCCCTATATACAGCAGTAGAAATGATATAGAAACATCTACATTATCTGCAGATTCCTCCGCAAGCTGTATATAAATGAACAAATTGCACATAGCGTTATTGGCAGTTGGTTTTTGACAGCATAATATACGAATATTTATATGTTTAAATGAAACTGATTACTGCTGACAAAGCAGCATCATCTTGGCATCAAGCTGTCTCTGCTCAATATTCAAGATGTCTATGAAGATTCTCATAGACATCAATATTCAAGATTTTTTTAATAATTGCAACTCTAAGCGCATAATTTATCATCACTATCCTGAATCTCCATGCTTCGTAACGATACAGAAACTGGTGTCATTAATACACATTACATTCAACTCTGTGCATTTGGAATCCGCTGCTCTGTTTGAATCAGATTTGAATGCCAGGTGCCCTCCTACCTGACCTCAACCAGCATGTGATTCCTGCTTATTTGCTGTACATCTGCCGTACTCACACCCTGTGCAGGTGAGCACAGTAAAAACGTCCTCCTCTGAGGTTTTAAACGATCGAGGCAAGCTGTGGTTTGACGCTTTGTGATTGTGAATAGCACTGGTGAAATGCGGCTTGGTTGTCATGTGTGGATGAACTGCCTTCGATGACGTGTTTTGGACCGGATCTGCAATCTGGGCAGCTTATGACCCCTGTGTGCTGCCGTCAGAGCTGCAGCTTCTGTGTGTTGGGACTAACAAGAAAGGAAGATGTTATGATTTTTTAAGGTTTGACTTGTTACCGTTTGCTATGGTGTCATGTTGTCTTGGCGTCCAGCATGGTTTTTGCAACTTGCCTGTGTGGAAATGAACCGTAGAGGCTGGCCGGAGTTCACAGCGAGTTAGGGCCCGTTCAGTAACAGGAGCAGGATTTCAGAGCACCGTGTTGAGGTGTAGTGTATGAGTGGCATTGGGGCGGTGGTGTCGGGCGTCAGCTGAAGTCATTCTACCAGCTCCTCTTCAGACTGCCCGGTCAAACCGAGGGCTGATGTGCCTGCGGGCGCCATGTCTCTCCTCTGTCGCAGGCTTCGAAGGCTGCTCCATGGTGCCCTCCATCTATCCTCTGGAAACGCTGCACAACTCGCTGTCGCTAAAACAAGTCAACGAGTTCCTCGCCGGTGTGTGCGAAAGTGCAGGGGATCCACACACGAGGACTACCAGAGGTTAGAAACAAACACAAAATCATGTTATATTTTGCATTATGGACATCGTAATCTTTGTCATTTTACTTGACTCGTGGTCTCTGTTCTGTGCCCGCAGCTCTGTCAGCCATGTTTGGCGCACACAACCAGCCGTCAGTGGACTCGTACATCCCTCAGAGAGTCTCTTCCTCCATCTCTCTCAGATCTCGTTCCGACAGACCTCCTTGGTGTGAGTATCGCAGCATCTTCTTGATCCCACCAGTATGACATTTCTAGGTTGCACTCCCTCGGCTGTTTCAGTTTCAGACTGTGGATTATTTATGGAAAACAAGTCGTCCCTCACAGCCTCACAGTTGTTAAGAGCAGTCTGTCATCTTTCCAGACTCATTGCTCAGCAGAACCCAATGAACCAACTCTTTGTTTTTTTTTTCTTGCAAATGAAACACGTGAACTAGCTAAATTAATCATAATAATTTAGTTTTGTCTATGTTCTTATTCCCTCTCATACGAGTACTGCGGGTTTATTTTCTGTTCTGCAGACAGCAGTGGCCCATCCAGCACAGTATCCAGCGCTGGACCATCCTCTCCCACTACAGCTGACACTTCCCCACGCTTCAGCTTCAGTGATAAGATCTCCCTCACCTCTCAGAGCAGCGAGGAAACTCACTCCTCTCAAAACATTTCTACCCAGCCAGTGGCTGTCTTTGGGTCACAAGTCCTTGACCCAACTTGTCTCTGTGTTTCAAACCCCTCTGAAGTCCCTCTGACTCCAAATAACTCGCCAGAGGATGATGCTGAGCACTGCGCTGTTACTGATCACCAGCCTGATGATCTTGAATACACACAGGAAGGGCCAGAGGTGGATTCTGCAGCCGTGGATTCTGCAGCCGTGGATTCTGCAGCCGTGGATTCTGCAGCCGTGGATTCTGCAGCCGTGGATGCCTCCAGCGGTGCGATTTCAGATCCTGGCCTGAGACCGCCCTGCTCTGCGTTAGCTGAGCTCACACTGAGTCGGATGGAGGGTTACTGTCTCCCCGGCTCTCTTCCTGTGCTGTTGGAACTCAGAGAGAGCAGCAGTGAGGCGGGCTCCAGCTCCCAGACGCCCCAGTCTCCAGAGGGACCCGATGAGTTCTTTGACACTCAGGAGTCGATGGAGTTGTGGATGGACAGTCCAGAAAGCCTCCCTAGTCCTGAGACGCCTCTAGAGGTCGGAGCCACTCACACAACAGAGCCGTAGGGCGTGGACACCTCCAGAACAACAGGCTACTGACCTGTCAGAAACTACAGTGGTTACATCTGTAAGCATTATCCTTGTCGGTCATGAGCAGAGAGGCATTGTACTGAGCTACATCCCACTGGGCCTCTCATATCCTCTGGCTTGTGATTCTCACACTAGGCTTTATGTTGGGCATGCCACACATGCTGTTCATTGCCTTTTTAAAAAGCTTTCTGACAGTCCACCGGTTCAGTTCATCTATCTGTAAAGGTGTAGGAAGCCACTTGTTGTAAGGTGAAGCTTTATTGTCAAGTCTAAACTTAACAACTCTCTTTTACTGTCGTTTAATGCTGTTATGCAAGCCTTTTCTTTAAAGCTGCATTAATCAATGTTTGACCTCTAGAGGGCAGAAACGCCCAGAGCCCTGACATGTGATCACCCTATGAAGTAGCTAAGGTGTTAGCCATCAGTTGCCTAGTTATCTGTCACCTCATTGGAGTTTGGATCCACACGATGAATTGAAGTTCAATATTCACTTTCCTTTCAGCACTGGTTTGCTCTCTACCAACTCCTGAGGAAAAATATGTGGCCCTTTAGCAGCTAGATGCTCCACTGTGCTCACCAGATAGACGATAACATTGTCTGCCTGCCATTATATGCTGGGCAGGTAATGTACAGGAAATTTATCAGGGCTTGATGAGAGTGTTGAGGTATAACCATACAGGAAATATTTTGTAAAACTAAAACAATGAGCTAAAGGACGTGTTCAATTAAATTTTTGTGACCTTAAAGATATTGATTAATGGAGCTTTAAATTGTCTATCTTGCGTCTTTCTTACTTTCAGCCATTTTTAGGCAGCCGTGCTTTATCATCAGTATGTAAGCACAAGCTTTGCTGTTTTCTTTCTTTCTCCTTAGGATATAGAGACTCAATACTTTTATGAGAAACACAGGAAATGACTTACAAGACAGAGAAAACACAACCTCTGGCTGTTCTGTTTTTCTGTGGCGCTACATGTTTAGTACCTGCATCTGTGATTTCAAAACAAACAAATCAAAAGCTGAATGACAGCAGCTGAACCTTCATTACTGCCAGTAAAATCTAATAAGTGTTTAATCTCCCGGTCAAACCGTGTGTGCACTGCTTACTGCCAAAGTCCTTAAGCCTCATTGAAGATTTAATATAATCGGTAGGAACTGATAGAGAAAATAATATTTATTTTGAAATTGCATCTTGGAGGGAAAACAAGTCTGGTATTTTTGATACCCACATCAGATATTTAATTGTACCATAGCTATTGTATATTTGTAAAATCACCTCATGATGTTGGAAAGATCTGTAAGCTAATCTCTCATTTTATCACTGAACAAACAGGAGGGCATTTTAAATGAAATATGCTTTTATTGTGGCAAGCAGTCATGTAGCAGGTGTGTGTGTGTGTGTGTGTGTGTGTGTGTGTGTGTGTGTGTGTGTGTGGGGATACACACATGCTTGAGAAGCAATTCAGGTAGATGAGTACGCTGATGTGCAATTCTCTGTTTAATCTGTGGGATTTCATGTTACATGGAGATGTACTGTACAGCTGTGAGTCATCCTGTCTGTGTGTACGGATCATCACTCACTTTGCTTTTGTGCAGCAGGTGCTCTTTGCTTAAAGGGTCAATTTGCTAAGGTGTCATGTTGTCTTGGCTCAATTTGCTCAATCATCACAAAAACAAACAAAAATCCTTCTGGCCTCTTCTGGTACCTGACCATGCAGGCAGTTTTGGTTTTTATTTGTCCAGGTTTTGAGACGGCAACAATGTTTGTTTCCACAACCAGTGTTGACATTACTTTGGATAATTCAGACCTCAATAAATGTTTTTCTTTGGAACTGCTGTACTCTATACAGTGTTTTCGGTGGCATATTTCATTTGCACATTATAAAAAAAACGTGTAACTCACAGAAAATTGAGAAAAAGTCACAATTTCACAAAACGTTTTTTAATGCTTGGACGATGTGGAAATGTTTATCAATAAAAATAAAATGTAGCTAAGTGCAGCAGAAACAGACACATCATGATGTACACTTCAAGTGGGGGGGTGGGGGGGGCTGTGAGGACCACAAACTAAATTTTGTTAAATTCCAGTGCATTGAAATTGAGTCAGAAATCTCAAAGACGGATGTCTCCAAACCTGGACAAATTAAACCAAATCTCCATGGCTGGACACCACTAGAGGTGTATTTTTTGTAAAGAATTGACCCTTTAAAAGCTGCTCTGAAATCTACCTTTTAATCATTGACAGCGAACCTTCTGATAGACTGTTTAGTAATCAAATATCAATAATAATCCAAGATCTCCCTGCTGAGCTTTGGTAGCTGCCCTTCTGAATGCTTTGTGAACTGAAACATTCTCTTGTTTCATGTCTGATATTTCAACATGTTGGCTAATAAGCTTTGGTTTAAATGCACCATGTGTGTTTTCCTAAATCTGTGCAGACTGTACCAAGCCGATGGACTCCACAGCTCAACCACTTCCACAAATGTTTCCTCTCTGTTGTTCTGGAATAATTTCCTCTGTGTGAAGTTAATAATTTGATTTTAGAAAGATCATTACTGTATATGGAACATCCACAATAGACTGTAATTCTTCCAACAATGTTACAAAATACAGCTTTGGAATGTAAATTCCATGTGTGGGTTAACTTTATTGTTTGGTTCGGTAATATGGTTTCTACCCTCTAAAATAAACCAGTTCAACTTAATAATCAAGTATAAAAACATTTATAGAAAGAAAGATTTTATGTAAACTTGCCATAAACGTTACGTAAACATGCCTTTGCAAACAGTGTAAACTTTAAATATCTACAGTTATGTATGTCGAATTTAGCTATTGCCTCAAAGTTCTTACAAACATACTGTATTCAATTTTTTTGTGTTGCATTTACATAATTACATTTTGAAATGTTTCATTGCAAATCATCCATTTTTTGCCTCATCTACTTTACCAGTAGATAAGGCAAACTGAGGCAAAGTAATAAAGTAAAAGATGTGGATTACCTCATTATGTCAGAAAAACAGCTAGATATACTTGAATATGATGACTGATATAAAACGTTTAATAGTAAATAATAAATAATTTAAATCTGTGACATCCAATAAGAGTCTTACACAAAACTATGTGGACATCTGAACATTGCATCCGTATCTGATTGTAGAACATGTCACTCAAAAATCTTGCCCATCAATCTGCTAATATAACAGCCTCCACTCTTGGTTTCAGTCTTTTGATTTTCCCAGCCACAAGTGCATCAGTGAAGTCCAACACTGGTGTTTGTGATCAGGTGTGGTTCACACTCGGTGTTCCAGTTATCCCGAAGGTGTTCAGGTCAGGACTCTGTGCAGGCCAGTCAAGTTATTCCACAGCAAACTGGGAAAACTATTTCTTTATAGAGCTGCTTGTACACAAGGGCATATGTTGAAACTGAAAGGGGTCTTCCCGTAACTCTTGGCACATTATCACTGTATGCCATAGCATTAGGATTTCTCTAAGGGCTCCAGCCCAACCCATAAAAAACAGCTCCAGACAGGATGTGAACAGGCGTGTATTTCTCCCTGATGATGATACTCAGACCTCAGCAGCTAAATTCCGTCTGAAGTCAGACGGTGTTACTGTCGCGTAAATCTGTTAGAAGTAAATGTGTCCAGATGCCTGGAGTCAGCATTATCGCAGTGTGACGGATGTTCAGTTGGAGCTGAGGAGTACAGGGAAGGAGAGGGAAGTGATTTTTTGCTGGTTACAGTCACAGGAAAAGATTTTTTTTGGAATTACCTGGATTTCTGCATAAATTGGTCATAAAATGTGATCTGATCTTTGTCTAAGTCACAACAATAGACAAACACAGTCTGCTTAAACTAATACCAAACCAACAATTATATGTTTTTATGTTTTTGGAACACACCGTGTAAACATTAACAGTGCAGGGTGGAAAAAGTATGTGAACCTCTAGGCTAATGACTTCTCCAAAAGATAATTGGAGTCAGGAGTCAGCCAACCTGGAGTCCAGTGAAATAGATGAGATTATTGGGGCTGGTTAGACCTGGCCTGCCCTATTTAAAAAAAACACAATTTTAATTTTGCTGTTCTCATGGAGCGTTGCCTGATGTGTACCATGCCTCTAACAAAAAAGCTCTCAGAAGACCAAAGATTAAGAACTGTTGACTTGCATGAAGCTCGAAAGGGTTACAAAGGTATCTCTAAAAGTCTTTATGTCCATCAGTCTGCAGTAAGACAAACTGTCTGTAAATGGAGAAAGTTCAGCACTGTTATTACTCTCCCTAGGAGTGGCCGTCCTGTAAAAACCACTGCACGAGCACAGCGCAGAATGCTCGATGAGATTAAGAAGGATCCTAGAGTGTCAGCTGAAGACTCACAGAAATCTCTTGAATGTGAGTTCATAGGAGGCCAAGGCGGAAGCCACTGCTGTCTAAAAAAACACTGCTGCATGTCTGAAGTTTGCAAAAAGTAACCTGGAATTTCTACAGCACTACTGGCAAAATATTCTGTGGACAGATGATACCAAAGTTGATTTGATTGGAAGGAATACATAACCCAATGTGTGGAGGAAAAAAGGCACAGCACACCAACATCAAAACCTCATCCCAACTGTGAAGTATGGTGGAGGGGGAATCATGGTTTGGGGCTGTTTCGCTTGCCTCAGGGTCTGAAAGGGTTGCTATTATCAACGGAAAAATGAATTCCAAAGTTTAAGAAATTTTGCAGGATAATGTAAGGCCATCTGTCCACAAATTTGAAGCTCAACAGAAGATTGGTGATCCAACAGGACAACGACCCAAAGCAAAAAAAGTAAGTCAACAACAGAATGGCTTCAGCAGAATAAATTATGCTTTCTAGAGCCCAGTCAGAGTCCTGACCTCAACCCTGATTAAGATGCTGTGGTATGACCTCAAGAGAGCGATTCACACCAGACATCCCAAGAATATTGAAACCGTTTTGTAAAGAAGAATGGTCCAAAATTCCTTCTGACCATTGACTACTGCAACTACAGGAAACGTTTGGTTGAAGTTATTGCTGCCAAAGGAGGGTCAACCAGTTATTAAATCCAAGGGTTCACATACTTTTTCCACCGTAACACTGAATGTTTACACAGTGTGTTTAATAAAAACATATAAACGTATAATTGTTTGTGTAGCATTAGTTTAAGCAGACTGTGTTTGTCTGTTGTTGTGACTGAACAGATCGGATCAAATCTTATGACCACTTTATGCAGACATGAAAGTAATTCCAAAGGATTCACATCCTTTTTCCTGCAACTGTAGTAGAATATTTCCCTCTTGAAGTAGTGGAGGAAAAATAGATGATCTCCCAAAACAGAAATGGTACGTAATTGCCGTACTTTTCTTGATTACTTGATTAGGACTAAGTATCAAACTTTAAATTTGGTATCAAATGGCTGGTTAGATTTGTAATAATCTTGATTCGAATTCGAAATCAGAAATTTGAATCTTGTTAAGGGAAAATGTTTGTACAGCTGTTTGTGTTTAGACAATATTGTGTCTTCTTTAAATTAATGAAAAGGGGGGGGGGGGGGTAAAACATGTTTATATTCATCCAGTGATGGAAGAAGTATTCAGATGGCTCAATAGCAATATCACAGTATTTAAATAACTGTTAAAGAAAGTATTATCAGTATTATTTGATCTTAAGTTTTAAAAAAAACATACCCAGACAGCAGAATGAGCCCATCAGTGTTACATTATTTATTGTTAAAATATTATAATTAATTTGATTGCTTTACTGTGTAAGAAACATCTTAATGCTGTAGCTGGTTGACGTGGAGCTAATTCTTACCATTTTATTTACTGTTGGGTAGTTCACGTAGAAATGATGCAGCATTTACAAGCTCATTACATTTACATTTACTCATTTGACGCTTTTATCCAAAGCGACTTACATTTGAGGACCAGCATACAAGCATCAACAGAGCATCACATCCAGATCTACAACTGACAAAACATACTAGTAAGAGCAGCAATAAGTACTAGTAAGAGCTCATAGCGCATATCACATCAATGGGGTAAATACCTAGGGAAGGAAGTAAGAGTTAATAAAAAGTGCAATCAATACAGGATAATTGTAGGGGATAGAAGAAGAAGAGCACAGGAAGTGCATGTTAGAGGTTAGGAGTTAGAGGTGTTATAAGAGGAAGTGTTATAGGTTGTGTATGTAGCATGATCATCTGCAAAGTTACTACAGCTGTTAAATAAGTAGTGTAGTAAAAAGTACAATATTTCCCTCTGAAATGTAGTGTAGTAAATGTATAAAGTAGCTTAAAGTGCTCTAGTTAAGTGCAGGTATGTCAGATTGTCCTTAAGTACAGTACTTGACCAGATGTACTAAGTTAGTCCTCTAAGTAAGGTATTGAGAAAAGTATTATATGGAAGTCAGTACTTGTATTTAACATGATACCCAGCCCTAAACTTTATTAAATATACTTGGTTATTTTCCACCTCTGAAGAAAAGGGAAACTGTCACATCTGTTGTTCCCCCTGTTCTCCATCCTGATCATGTGACCCAGGAGGTGATGTCATTGCAGCATCCATTCAGCAGCTTCTCACAGCGGTGACTGTCCTCTAGCTTCCAGTCTGCTCCTTCCTCCAACACAGTATCAGCTTCACAAAGACAAAACAGTGTCTGACAACAAAAACAGGGAGTTGATGCTCCACCAACTGCCGTCTCTGTTCAGCTTGTTTTGCATGACACATCAGCACCGCAGGGCCTCAACGCTTTCACCCTGCAGATCTTTGGACTCTCAGACTGTTGAAAAAGGGTTTACAGAGTCTGAACAAAGTCCACACTGTTCCTGTGTTTGGACCTCGCCACCCCTCGATTACATCATCCTTACACTCTGAGACAGTGAGGAAGGAAAACTGGAGTACAAATCCTTTGGTTCCTGACCCCACAATGGGCCGGAAGAGGATTAACAAGATAGGAAAGGAGAAGAGTAATTGATTTTTCCACACAATTTATTTATTTTGTTTGTTTATTACTTTTTTCTTAGTCACACTAAGTGGCATGGCTATAGGGAGAGTAATGTCCGACTGTTGAACATTGTTTTCCAGAGAGGATACATCCTAATGCCTTTGGTAATCCTTTTTCTATGCCATGAGATTGACTTTTTGGCGTTTGGTAAAGATATTAAAACCATGAGGTCAACATTTTAATTTGTCCAATACTTTGGTTTAAAGACTTGCAAAACTAATGACTTAACCATCAGCTTCAGCTGTGCTTTGTGTTTTGCTTAATTAGCAAATGTTAGCATGCTAACCTGAGATGGTCAACATAGTAAAACATGCACGCTTTTCACTGCAAACATTTTGACATGTCATAGCAGGAAAAGCAACTTTGTATTTAATAACATCAATGACGGCTGCCATTTATTGAGGTGAGCCAGTTCCAGTTTATGTACTCTGTTGTTTTGCTTGTATCTTTTATAAACCAAATCTTCCCATCAGTGACATCTCACAGCCGGTCGGACTAATTTTGGGTTCATTTTCTGTGGCCCAACAGGTAAATGAGGTCCCCAACCTAATGTTATCAAGATACAAAAGAATAAAAAATGCATTTTAGATGAATGATATGAATTGTCAAATAAGTTGAGATCCCAGCACTCTAACACAACAAACAATGGCTCACTAAAGCCATGGAACTGCAAGGTACTTTCCAACTGAATAACACAAATGAGTATAATTTCTATGGTAACCAAAAGAGTGTCAGGTACTTTCCAACTCATTGTGTAGCAGTACCATGTGTAATGTATTAGATGCAACAACTACCGTATAATGTGATCAACTAAGAAATGAAAAGAAAATGATTAACTATGAAATGCAATGAAAGGGATCATGATTTTAATAGAATTTATTAAAATGTGTGTGTGTGTAAGAATAAGAGGAGTAAAAGGATTATGTTGAGACATGTTGAACTTGTTGTGAAATACTGAGATGAGTGTAACGGTCTTATGACTATGAGTCATTGGGAGAGAAGGGTCAGCAAGGGGAAATAAAATAGCCAAATAAGGACATCTCTGGCCCAACTGAATTTACGGATGAACAAGCTATGTGACTGTAGTCACGTAGACAGGAAAAGGGTGGTAGCTGATTTGACAAAGAAACTCAGCTACGAAGTAGGATATATAAAGAGGAGTCAGAGAGAGATCGGGTTATTCCCTGGCGGATCTCAGAGGCATCGGACTCGGAGCAAGACCATCACCAAGAGCCTAAGACAAGAGATGGGGATTTGAACAGCAAACAACCAGAAAATACTTCAGAGATTTCTTCAGGGGACTTCAAGAGATCGAGCCACAGAGGGTAACCACAACATCCAAACCAACTGAAGAATCATCGGACTCAGAAGTTTTTCTCTCTCTCAACTGTAACGAAGACTGAAGACTTTTGAAGACAATCGAAGGCTTTGGACAAAGCCTCGAGTTTGTACAAGACTCCACAGATCCGCAGAAGAGGGAAAGATCTCCTTGGCCAGGACGACTCCTTTCCCTCCCCTTCTCCCCAAAAAGAAGACATCAAAACACTCAAGCTCAGCTATCATAATCAGGTTTTGAATTTTAGAGATTTTTTATCAGTTTACTCAAGTTTTAATCAGTTTAAGTTGTATGCTTGCCTTTGCTTAATTTTGCAATAAAATATATAATCACTGCATTTATAGTACCAGTAGTAGACATTGAATTTCTTTCTTCACTAAGGTAGTAATTCATTAGGTAAAGTGTGTTTAACATCTTTAAGGTTCTTATGGTGTTTTCGCCCGGTTCTCCTGGTACTTTAAATGCAGTGATAATGTATTTTATTGCAAAATTAAGCAAAGGCAAGCATACAACTTAAACTGATTAAAACTTGAGTAAACTGATAAAAAATCTCTAAAATTCAAAACCTGATTATGATAGCTGAGCTTGAGTGTTTTGATGTCTTCTTTTTGGGGAGAAGGGGAGGGAAAGGAGTCGTCCTGGCCAAGGAGATCTTTCCCTCTTCTGCGGATCTGTGGAGTCTTGTACAAACTCGAGGCTTTGTCCAAAGCCTTCGATTGTCTTCAAAAGTCTTCAGTCTTCGTTACAGTTGAGAGAGAGAAAAACTTCTGAGTCCGATGATTCTTCAGTTGGTTTGGATGTTGTGGTTACCCTCTGTGGCTCGATCTCTTGAAGTCCCCTGAAGAAATCTCTGAAGTATTTTCTGGTTGTTTGCTGTTCAAATCCCCATCTCTTGTCTTAGGCTCTTGGTGATGGTCTTGCTCCGAGTCCGATGCCTCTGAGATCTGCCAGGGAATAACCCGATCTCTCTCTGACTCATCTTTATATATCCTACTCCGTAGCTGAGTTTCTTTGTCAAATCAGCCACCACCCTTTTCCTGTCTACGTGACTACAGTCACATAGCTTGTTCATCCGTAAATTCAGTTGGGCCAGAGATGTCCTTATTTGGCTATTTTATTTCCCCTTGCTGACCCTTCTCTCCCAATGACTCATAGTCATAAGACCATTACACCCATCTCGCCGATTTTTTATCAGTTTACTCAAGTTTTAATCAGTTTAGGTTGTATGCTTGCCTTTGCTTAATTTTGCAATAAAATATATAATCGCTGCATTTAAAGTACTAGTAGTAGACATTGAATTTCTTTCTTCACTAAGGTAGTAATTCATTAGGTAAAGTGTGTTTAACATCTTTAAGGTTCTTATAGGTTGCTCTAGCCAACAAAATTAACTTATCCTTGGGGCCTATTTTCCTGGCTGCTAAACACAATCCTAGCAACTATACCAAGTGCACTGATCAATGAGAAGAGAGCTGTTATTAACGGGCGTGGCTGAGGTGATATTTGGCTCTAGGGCTATTCAGTCAGGTGCCATTTCAGAGTAAGCAGGGTAGGCGTTCGGAAGAAGACAGTGAGAAGCTAGGCGAATCTCTTCCACACCAGCTTAAACAGTCCTCAGTTATACCTAATAGGGTAATACCCATAGGCCTACAGGATCGGACCCTTTAAGATGGAGAGCTGGTCCAGTACCTCCTGAACAGGGGTGACTCGGGATCTAACAGTATACACTTTGATCATAAAAAAAGAAAACAGTAAACAAGTTGCTGCCGTTAAATTGTATGTATGTGACCGAGGGGTATTCTCTCCGGAAGTTATTGTAAACATTGTGATTGGTTGCTCACTCACTGATATGGCTTATTGGAACACTTACTGGGAGCAAACTCTTAAGTCTTGTTGTTTAAATGCTGGGGGTTTAGCTCCACAGGCCTCTAAAAAGTACTAAAAAACCCTATCACACAAGTCAGTCAAACTGCAGATAGATATGCAACCTGTGAGTAGAGTTGGTGGGGGAACCAGTGGCCTAGAAATTGTGTCCCATAATCAGTTTATAGAAGGAAAACATTTATCCAATTATACACAAAGAAAAGAAGAGGGAGACATTTCTCTTTCTTTTTTTCCCTTTTATTGGTCTTTAACACCTTTTAACAATAAATGTGTTTTCTATTTTACTTTTTTAATCATTTAAAGAGAGATAAAGATAATATTGCACTTAAAACAAGAGATGAAAGTAGAACCATGAAGCAGAAAGGAGGAAAAAAACAACCACAAGGCTTTCTTTACAGCACAGCATAGCCAGGTTACATGTGCTTTCTCTGTAACAGACAGCTTAGCTTCTTAAATATACATCTTTTAAAATAGCATTTCTATGTTGTCAGTTTTTCTTTAGCTATTACAATACAGGATAACTCAAAAAAGGTACACATGCACATACAAGCAGGGCTCACTGAAAACCAACGGTGTTTATGATTATTTGTTTCACGGCAGACATGTCTGAATGCCACAGTTATATTTTTTTTTTTTTTGCACAATACGGAAATGCAGCGCTTATGTGTGAGTGTGTGTGTATTAAGCTTTGTCTGGAAAAAAGTGTGAATATTAGGAAGTCCTCTAGAAATGTATTGACATGAGTGAACTGAGTCCCTCATGTCTGGCAGTCTGGGTTTTGAGTGGTCTGCTTATAGGTGAGTAGTGTTGATTTTGTAATTACTAGCCTTTACAGTGATGCAGTATTAAATAGGAATGCAGATTACAGCGTCATTCACTGACGCAGTGGGTTAACAGGAAAACACTGGCGTCACGGTTAACCCTGTTTCATCAAAGATGCTGTTAATGGATCCTTTTAAATCAGCAGGCAATAGAAACCTCAACTCGACATTATCTCCTCAAAGTCACAGACATTGCAACTTGTTCATCAAGCTGACAACATTTTAATCTGCTGACAGAAATCATATTGTTTGTCAAACTGCATCCTACCATCCAAAGAAAGAAACTGTGGTGGGTATAATCTGCACACAAAGTTTTCCTCCCTGCACAGTCGGGATGTATTGCAGGCCAACGAAAGGTTGTTACTGCCAGTGTGACCAATGACTCAGATGTACCATATGATGCACAGTAAACAAGGCAGCCAGGAGATCAAAGTCCTCCACAGAGAACGTAAAGGTAATCTGCATCTTCACATTCAAATCAACTAGTACCGCTGAGGTTTGTGCTCCACTCCCTGCAGCCCTCTGGTTTTTTAAAAAGTCATCGCCTTTATGAACATGCATCTGTTATACATGCATCCCTAGATGAGTTGAGGGAGTAAAATATCATACAGTGGAATTTCTGGATTTTTGCTGTGGATCATAAAATAGCAACCCTAGTGAGGTGCGTTGGTCCTGTAATTTGTTGAATAGTTGGTTTTATTCCTGGTTAAAATCTATTAAATTACTCAAAACTTATCAAAATATAAAATTATCAATATCAAATTAAAACACATCTACACTTAATATTAAGTTTGTGTCACTTAAAAACATCCACTGATTTACCACTGAAAAGAAAGATAAATTTAAAAACAAGATGTAATAAGTTAAGGAGATTGTGGCTAAAAACAATTTTGAAAGACAAACTATATTTTCTGCAATAACTAAAAGTACCCAGAAATAAAATAGCACAGGTTTTCAGTGCAATAGCTGTAATTATACATTTTATGTTGCTTAATTTGAAAAAAAGCAAAAACTGCTTTAAGTTTTGCACACTGGTTACTATTTGTGCTTCTTTAAGTGGCAGCTCAAGAAAATCTAAAATTCAACTGCGGAAATACTGAGTTGGTGCTTTAAAAGTGCCATTTTATGCTCAATATGTACAACTAAGACCTTTTTGTGCACTGACGTTCTCACAGACAAAACTCAGAACAACAGAGACCAGCTCGCCGTAGCCTCTGCCACAGAGCTGTGGATGTACCGCACACTGAAATACCTTACATTTCTATGACAATTCCCTTCCAGCACAGCAGGACAGAAAGGCACATGTGGGTGACAGTCTAACCTCTACTTTCAATCGAACCAGTTCATCTTTGTTCACCAGGCAAACACAATCTCTCCGCGCAACCACATGTTCCTATTGTTGTAATGGAATACAATCTTGATTCTTTAACACAGCTTTTGTATAAAGATCTTTCCGACGCAGCAACTGGTATGAGGTTTGTCTTCTTTCCTATAAGGAGCTTTGAACATGGAGTGCTGTTCTGTATGTAAAGACATAAACAAGTAGAATCCAAAGATCAGGATGATGATTTTGTACTGGTTTCATCCCCTCTGCCTTCAGCTCTCCTCATGATCCACTGCAACAATATGTTAACTGGAAATACACTGGAAAAAATACATCAAAGACTACAGGAACAATTATAGAGAGAACTTATTTGTCAAATTCACTGTAAGAAATAAACAGCCACTGAGAAATTCTTACTGTAACGATTGATTTTCACTTTGAAATAACCGTAGAAATATCATAATTCACTACAATACAGATTTTTTTTTTTTAATATGGTCTTCCATATCTACAGCAAATATACTCTTTATACTACTATAGAGACATGTTGAAAGGACCACTGGGGTCTACTTGAACATTTTCTATCTTACTATGTCAGTAGGAGGAACAAAGTTCAACACTGGGACTGTCATTGTTTTAGAAGAAAGACAGAAAGTACAATTAGAGGAAAGGAAATTAATCACAATTAGCAGCCTGTAATGATCATTTTCTATCAGCAAACGTATTCAATTGATCACTGGTATTGTGAAAGGCTTGATGTTTGGAATTCGCATTTTGTCGCTGGCTCTAAGGTGCGCAGACTTGTGCTTAAATTTAGGCCAATTAGAAGACAAGCAACCAAACATCAGTTTTATATTGTTTCCTTTATGACACTCTTTTTTTTTTGTCTCGGCCAACAAACAAAGACTCCATTGTCTCACAGGGTATGGGAAAGATTTGAGTTAAGGAACAGAAAAAAAAAAGCTTTCTCCCTTTTACAGGACTGAGTAATAATAACGTAGCAGAGGACAACTGTCAGAAAACTACATTTGAAATACAAATAGTGATAGCCACAACAAGCTTAGAAATGAATAAAAACTCTAGAAAAAAATAGATATTATCCAGATCTGTTTCTGCTTTCGGTCAAGTGCCCAGAGCAGAGACAGATTTATCAGGCTATAGAGAAGAGCAATTAAAAACAGATCTACACTGGGGAGGCTAGGAGGAGAGAGAGTAAACGAGGATCTTAAAACTCGATCTTGCAGGCGGGGAAAGACTCGTCCTGCATGACAACGGTGCTGCTGGAGGCTAGGACCATGATGTTGAGCTCCTGCTGCTTCTCATGTGTCTGCTGATACCAGTCACGGGTCACCTCCGTGTCGTGGGTGGGGATCAGTGTCACCTGAGAGGGAGACAAGAGATCAGGAAATGTCCTAACTGACACAGCTGAGACGATAAGCGCAGGAAAGGGTGTGACAAGGGCAATAGAAAATAATTGAAAACCTGGGTTCCACACAGTGTAGACATTTGTGAATCTGCCAATATGTGTTCAAACATTAAGATTTTGTTTCACTTGAGCTGGTTGAATAAAATCTTCCCGCTGATAATCAAGATAATTAATGTTTTACAGAAGTGCATTAGTTCAGACACTTTTCGTTGGTCCAGGTATGTAAATCCACAACATTTTTAACTCAAGTGTTAAAGTAAGAGCACTCACTCGCGCCTACCTCCATCCTCAGTGAAATGCAAATATCAGGCCTCGCCCTCTTGGTTTTTACTCTTTCCAAACAGGGCCCTAGCTTATCTGATGGACGTATAGCAAAGCCCAAAGTTGTATCCATCTGTATGTTATTATGATGCACAGCCCTCTGTTAAATTCTGTGAAATGTAACAACCCCGATGAGATGTGCATGTTTACATTATTATGGCAAAATTATGCTGGTGATGTCACTTGGACTTTCAGCATCCTGTGATTTGCTTATATCGTATGCCCTACCTCAGCTAGTGTGTGCATGAGTTATTTAGTGATAGTTCTGCTGCTAACTTAAAGAATGTACAGTGGGAAATGTTACCTGTAGGTTTGATCCCCACTGAGCTTTGCCATCCAACAGTGCATCAAGGACTCCTCGGCTTGGTTCACCACTTGCTGCATCATTCCCGCTCACCACATAGTATGCAGAGCGAATGCGTTTGAAAAACTCCTGGTCCACGTTCTTGGCACTGCAGTGGTTGGGAATGTATGCCAAGTCCACATAAATCGGTAAGGCAGGAGCAGCTGCAGAGCCGGACTTCTGAGAACCTGTGTGGGAGAATGACACCAAACTCTTACTATGTGCAGTAGAATATACTGTATCTTACCAAACTTGTTTTGTAGAATCCAAATTATTTTTGATAAGCTTTCGGGATTATGTTTTTAATGATTTTGCTCACCTGAACTGCTCTTGACACCGTTAGTCAACCCCTTGCCAGGGTTGTAGCTCGACCTGGAGAGGTCATCATCTTTGGAGCCCTGTCCATCAGACAGACGAGACATACGTGAGCTCTTGTCCGCCTCCTTCTTCTTCAGCGAGGCACTGCGAGGAGACGGTGTCTGTTTGACAGGCATGGGAGACCTCTTGCGTCTGGCTGGGGATGCTGATTTGGTTTTCCCCGAAGCCTTCTTTAAGCCTTTGGCTTTTGGCTCTTTCTTAATTGAGCCATTATCCAAAGAGTCAGGATCCACCATGCAAACATCTGGGTGTGGGGGGTGAGGGTAGGGGTCCATGAGGGGAGCAGGAGGAGGGTCATGACTTCTCCTAGAAGAATGATGGCTGCCTCCTCCTGTGGCAGATAATTTATCAACAGGCATGTAGTCCGCATCCTCATCTGAATCCATGTTACCCTCACCAGTGACTGAGGGGTATTCCTCAGTGCCTGGAGGTACATCAGAGTCTGACTGAGAGGCTAAAGACTCGCTGACAGAGGTGGGCGGTGTGTCCTCTGTGGCCAGACCCAGTCCTGCTGCCAAGCCACCAGCTTGGTGCAGAGAGCTACTGTGAGGCTGGTGATGATGGGGCTGTTTGTGAGCCCTTCTCTTGACCGACAGATCGTTTTCATCGCCCTGCGATTGGTCACTTCTGTGCCCTTGCTCCTCATCATCCTCGTCGCTGGATAACTGCCGCATGCATGGGTTGATGAAGGAAGGTGAGAGGTCCTCTTTGCGCTGCCTGCACTCGGAGGAGGAATATCCAGGAGAGGTGCGGCTGGTATAAGAGGAGGTGGCTCCCATGGGGACATCACCAGCAAGATCCTGATCACTGTCATCGTCATCATCCTGCCCTCCTCGGCTGCACTCTTCAGCGTAGAACGGTGAGCGAAATGGCTGATCAGTTGAAGAGAGTGAAAGCGGACGTGCAGGGTGTTCTGGCTCCATCTCACACTCCTCTTCAAACTCATCATCATGACGGTAATGGGGAGGGGAGTCTCCGGGCACCATCCCCATCTGGGGCTTTGACATCTCCCACTCATAAGAACTCCTGTAACCTGCTGCTCCCTCTCTGGGCTCCACCTTGGTTGGGCCTGAAGATGCACCACTAGCTGCTGCTCCAGCAGGGAGATTGGCGCTTGAGCTGACCTCCGTGGGGCCATTGACTGTGTCTGGCTTGCTGGCCTGGAGAGGTGAGGTTATGTAGGAGCCAAGAACATCAGGGAGTGCACCACCAGTCTTTTCACTGGCAACTGGAGCAACAGGCTTGTCAGAAAATGAGAGGCTACCAGCCAGGTTGCCGGAAGGCGACCTCCGAGTCATTTCACGCATATATGCCTCCTCATCCTCTTCTTCACTGTCAGTCTCTTCAAAGTAATGCTTGCCTTCTGTGTCTGGGCGAGGTGAGGAAGTGACTCCAAACAGAGCTGCACTGGCTGCCTCTTTGTCCTTGGCGAGCTCTGCGGATGGAGAGAACGGTCCTGCTGTGGCTCCATACCCAACAGCTGTGTCCAACTTGGACCATTCAGGCTTATAGAAGCAGTCTGATTGAGGGCCTTTGTCCAAAACTCCACCTAATGAAGTCGTATGCTCCTTCTTGTCCTCAGCAAAAGCAGTGGACGAGAGCGATGGGAAGGGCTTGACCTCCTGAAATGGGCTGAGGGGTGAGAAGCGGGCTAAACTGGAGGTGGACTCAGCCGTGGTTGTAGCGGGGATCTGTTTTTCAGACACTTCTAGATAGTCATCTTTGGCACCAGCGGAGCCGTAGTAGGGAGAATCCATGACCAATGAGTGTTCATCTTTAAAGGAGGAGTACTCAAAGAGGGGCTCAGCAGGCGTCTCCAGCTCCTCTCCAAACTGACGGCTGGTGGAGAGTGAGCCTGAGGTGGAGGAGGAATAGCTATAGGCCGAAGAGGAGGAGTACCCGGGGGCAGCTGTGGTTGTGTACTGAAAGCTTGAATCCAGTGATCTCTTACTCAGAAGGTCTGGTGTCTTCTGTTTCTCAAAATCAGGATCAGCTCTGTCGTTCTGGTAAAAACTGTCCTCTGTTGATTTCAAATTGAAATCCTTGTTACCTTTGTCTGTGGTCTGACTTAAAAATGAATCTGTCTCACCACTTCCATATGAGTACTCAAACCCTGAGGAGTAGACAGAGAAACCTGTAGCCCCTAAATCCAGGGGTGAGGAGTCAACTTTAGCTTTGTCTTCAGCCTTTGTGAGTGAGCTAGAGCTGCTTTCTTTCATATTTGGCTTCCCCTGACTGTTATAGCCATATCCAGCCATAGAAACCATAAATTCAGGCTTATTTGAACCAAATATTTCACTGACTTGACTTTTTACTTCCTTCTCAGACTTGTCTTTAGTGCCCTTCTCCATATCAGAATCAACAGCACCTTCAACGTCGTCCTCTTCATCCTCTTCGTCTTCCTCCTCCTCCTCATCTTCATCAACAACATCGTCATCATAGTCCTCCTCATCCCTTGCTGTTAGTTTTCGCATATCAATCTCCAAGCATGAGCCTTTCTCACCGTAGCCGGTGGCAGCAAGTTTGTCTACATCAAAGGCTGTCATTGAGGAGTATGTCTGGGGCTTTGTGCCGTCAGTCTGGCTTTTAAAAGATAAGTCTTTTTCAGATGATAAAGAAGTAGACGAGGCCTCAGGTCTATCAGCTACTGAAGGGAATCGGCTACCTGTGCTGTATTCAAAGGTATCCTTTCCATCGACCTCTTTTTCAAATGGAGGTTTAGCAGAAGTGCTCTTGGAGTCAAGCCACGATGAGGCAGAGGACTCTTTTCCAAAAGAGACACTAAATCCCTCCTTCTCTGACATCTTGTCCGTGGCTGTTACTGGAGATGGGGGCTCATGTTTCTGGAAATCCACTTCACCCATTGTAATGTCCTTTTTATCTAAGGACTCCTGCTGATATGAATCAGAGTCCACTGAGCTTGTTTTACTGTCATAAATGTCACCGTAAGAGAATGTTTTGCCATGCACATAGGGTGTGTCTTGTCTTATATACAAAGCCTTTTCTTTGCTCTCCTTCTCTGGAAAATCATAGAGACTGAAATGAACACTTTTCTCAGCCTCTTTAGAAGCGATATCTGTTTTCTCCGTGCTTTCATTTTTTAACTCTACTTTGCTTTGATCTGCTGGTACGGGCTTTGACCCTATCCCACTTGGGACACCATCATCATCTTCCTCTTCATCTTCGTCTTCGTCTGAGTACATCACTTGAGGTTTTGGTTTCTCCTCTGTGCAAAAAGACACCTCTGTCTTGTCCGAGCCCTTGACTTCTGTTTCTATCTTTGCAGATTTTGCCTCAAAGGTGAAGTCATCATCCAAGAAGCACCCCTCTTTTGCTTCCATAAGCTTGGCCTTAACAGTTGGCTGTAGATCCTTTTTGGCGTAACAGTCCTCTCCTTCATCGTCTTCCTCGTTTTCTTCATTGGATTCTTCAGACACTTCAATCGCTGTTTTGTCACCTAGAAGACCAACAAAGGAGGTATTGTCTGACATGGTGACTGATTTATCTGTTTTCTGATAGTCGACTTTAACATCATTCACCGCCTCATCTTTGTCTTCTGGCTTAAAGGGTTTCTCTTCTGTTGGCGAGTAGCCACTGCTTGTAGGCACCGACTGTGTGGGTGATCCCAGTTTCATGGTGCTGTCATCTGGACTTAGACATCTTTCCTCACTCTCCTGCCTGGAGTTGGACTCTAACCCAGGAGAGAAAGATGGAGGGGGTGAAACAGGCTTCATATCAGCGCCAGTCTTCAATCCCTCTGTGCTAAAGAGAGACTGGTTTTCTTTGACAGCTTGTGTGGGAGAGTACTGCATGGCAGAGAAGGGAGGAGGAGAAGAAAAAGTGGAAGAAGGTTTCTCCTTCTCCTGGAGCATCATGGAGGCTGCATGTTCATAGCCTTCTTGGAGTTTGCCCAGAGGGATCTCAACGTTCGGAGTCTGGTCCTCGTCCTCTTCTTCGTCATCGTCTTCTTCTTCGTGTACTGATTTGATCTTTGCATCACCCTCCATCTCAGGAATATTGGGCTGGTACTCATCAGAGGAAGGAGACTTAAAGCACTTGTCGTCCTCCAGAGAGGAGGTCGGTGAGATAGTTCCTGCTGAGTGGAGATAGTCCTTCCCATGGATGGCCTCAGCACGTGAGGGGATACTGTTGATGGTGTCAAGCAGGAGAGAGTTCCTCCCAGCTTCCTCAGTTTGAGGTGCTGTTACAGAGGCTATTGATTGGTCCTCAGCTACAGACGTGGCAAAGGACGACAGTTTGTCATATTCTGTGATGGATGTTGCTGAGGAGATGTGCTCCTCCTCTGCAAGAGGAGCAGCAATGATAGCAGGGTAAGGTGCAAGCTCAGGCTCGTGACCTCCCATGAAAGCTTTGGGTTTAGCATTTGGAATATCAAAAACAGCGGAGCTCTTCATCTCTTTTATACCATGCATGGAGTCAAAGGTGCCAGGAACGTCAGGGACAGAGACGTCATAGGAGCCCACATCATAGCGCAGCTGTGGGATCTTATCTTCTGTTTCGTCATGGATCTCCTCATCAGAGATGGTCTGTTCAGTCTCGGAGTAACCGGGGATGGTCTCATCTTGGATGTAGGAGAATTGCTCCGAGGCAGTGGCTGCTACTTGCTCAGACAGGGCTGGGGTTGTTAAAGGTTTTTTCTCAGTTGGCTTGGTGTCCAACTCCTTTCCAGGTTTTTCCTTTTTCGCCTCCTCTGTTTTATATTTCAGGACCTCGTCATCTTCTGTTCCTTCGAGTTCAGCTTTTTCAATTACATCACCCTCCTCCTCTGAGCTGTCACTCTTCTTTGATCTGTCTTTTATGTCGTCCTTCACAGGGTATTTGTCATATTTCTCCATTTTCTCCTCTTCATACTTCTTGTCAAAACCATCACTTGCTGCCTTCTTTTCAGTGGTTGCAACCTGTTCTGACACACCCTTGTCTTTGTTGTATTCTTCCTGTTTGACAGGCGATTTTGGTGAAGCAGATTTTATCTCTGTGGATGGGGATGTGACTTTCTCATCACAGAAAGGTAAGGAAGAAACTTTAGTATCTGTGTACACTGAATGCCCAGACATCACATCATTCTGGATAGGCTGGGTCTTAAGTTTGGACAGCTCTTCTTGTTTCAGAGCCTCAAAGTCCTCAGTGAGGTCTTCTGGGGAGGACACAATCGACCTGTCAGCCAAAGCTGCTGCTGCAATCTCTTCAGGGATGTTCTTTGGGACTGGCTTTGACTCATTTGCTTCCTCTTTAACTGCTTTATTTTTGTCTGCCTTGGGCTTAGCATGAGTCTTAGCCTTATGCAGAGTTTTTCTCACTTCAGGGGTAAGCGGCTTCAGGTCAGGTTTAGTAATTTTTCTCAGCTCTGGCTTACTTGGGTCCTTCTTTTTATCCTCCTTGGCTTTACTTTCTTTTTTCTCTTCTTTTCTAATATTTTCATCTTTCTTTACTTCACGTTTCTCTTTCTTTATTTCTTTTTTCTCTTTGTCTTTCTTTTCATCCATCTTGGATGCTTTCTCCTGCTTGGCAGTTTTTTCCTTGGATATTTTCTTTTTGTCTGATTTTTTGTCTGCCACGGGGGCCACCTCACTATTTTTCTGTTGTTTGGTGGCTTTTAGACTTTCACTTTTGAGTTTCTTCTCTTCTTTCTTTTCTACTTTATTCTCTTTAGTGATGTCACTCTTGGACTCTTCCTCCTGCCCACTGGGTTCTTTCTTTGTAGTTTTAGAGTGTGGTTTGGGTGACGATTTGAGACTCTCTTTGCTGTCAGTTCTTGATCTTATTTTAGTCTGTTTGATGATGGGGGGAGGTACCCCAGATGATATGTCTTTTTGGGTAGCCACTGGGTATCGCAGGAAGTCCAGGTGTTTCAGTTTCTCAAGGCCCTCAAAGATTTTATTCTGCGGTGCATTTCCAGGGAAGAGCACCCTGACTATCTTTTCTGTTGGACGGTGAGGAATCCAAACAATGAGAGCGGTAACTGATGTCAAATAAGGGACAGATATTTCTCCTTCTTTTCCATTAGGCATCGTAATGCCTGTCTTGGCTTTGCTGTTTCCAGCCCATTTCTGCATTAAAAACTGCATCTCTTTGCTCTCTTTTACAGGGTTTAAGACATACATATCTAACTTTCCCACACCAAGTTTGTGGAATAGTGTGATAGGTTCAATAGTGTTGCTGACAACCCTGTGAAGAGGTTCTGGTGTGATACCAAGCTTGTTGAGGTACTGCAACGTAAGAGATGCTTCCTCAATGCTTCGTTTCACTTTCAGTGTGGACTCAGGCATCCGAAGCTTCTCTGGGACGTTAAAAAACACGATCCCAAGCTCAGGAGAGATTAGGTTCTTCATCCAGTCACCGTTGCTGCTGGAGCCAGATCCTTGGTTATGCTCCTCCTCTTGTTCTGCAATCTTTCTCTGGAACAACCCATTGATTCCAGGAAGGTTGTCCGCACCAATATGGGTGAGCAGAACAGAGTCGATCCTGTCCAGGTGGCGAACAAGCTTCCAGAAGCAAGACTTCCGATCAGATCCTCCATCCACCAGGATGTTGAATCCATTGACGGCAAACAGAGCCGAGTCTCCCCTCCCTCCAGGGAAGATGTAGCAGCAGGGTTTGGACAGCTTCAGAAAACCTCCAGAGGTGGGGGGCTCCAGAAGGTCAAAGGATGACGGCACATCCACTGTCTCTGAGACATATTCAGTAAATTCAGTGACTCCGTCCATGTCGGGGAGGTGAGGTTCTGGGTTCAGGCGGTATTCCAGATGATTTTGGAGTGACTGCTGCTCCTGGCTTTGGCCCAGGGAGCTCCAGCCCCCGTCTCCCTGACAGGAAACAGTAAGTCTGGACGGCTGCTCTGAAAAGGCCCTGGACAGGAGTTCAATCACCTGGGAACACAGTAACAGCAAAAAACAGCTGAAAATAACTGCTTATGTAAGCTTTCTAATCGCATCGATGATCCTTACACGTACACGGTAAAGAAGTATTTGAAAAGAAAGAGTACTTGGCTTACTTCAGGGCTGGAGATAATGTTGGAGAAGTGTTGCCAGGTGAAGGCTCCACCTTGCAGTAGGATGTCACCTCCCTGCTCAGAGCTCTGGCCGCTCAGTATCAGCAACTTATTTCCAGAAAAGTCAGTAATCAAAGAGCGAATCTAGGTAGAGTACAGGAGACCAACTATAAGAACAGAAATAACAATAATCCTTCATAATGATAAGTCTTCTATAAGTCATTAAGTTATTATACTGGACAGATGAAAAATGCAGAGGTACAGTTCACAGCACCGTGTATTTCCAAGCAAACATGGTTTCTTGGCAGGTTCAGGGACCAGTCTATTACAGATAAATTGTTTAGATTATGCAGGTTTAACCATTACTTGCCTTTCCATCATACAGTAGACAAATATAATAATGAAAACTACAAGGTTAATTCATTACAACATAATTTATACATTTAAACAGCAGTCAAAGCCTTAGCTAACAACTGTCTAATTTTCAAAGCTGAGGCATCTAAGTGAGTTTATTTATTGGCAGAATATCCATATAGTATGATTTTAAAAAATACAAAGCATTTCCAAGTGTAACTGCAGGCGAGTTGTGAGCATCTTCACCCTGCGGTGTTTTGTCTGTGTTGTCCAGGTGTGACTTACCTCTGAGGCAGTGGTCTCCTCTGATGGGTTCACCAACACAACTGTCTCGAGTACATCACTGTGATACTGGAGAATCCGCTGGCCTACAGGAAACAGAGATTAAAAAAACATTATGACTACACCAAGGCAAATAATGAGAGGCAAAAGCGAAACATCACTGAGTTACAGAGGCCTGCTCATTAAGGGGCAACTATTTGTTTTATGCTGTTTTTACAGGAAAAAATCCACAACATTAAACATTGTTTGGTAGGAAGTCATAAGTCATGGTAGGATACAGTCACACAATTTCTAACTAAGTGAAAAAAGCAAAATGTGAAGGAAGATAGTTCGGCATTTATGCTAAGCTAAGCTAAAGTATATTACTACTATTTACTGTACAGAAATGGGTTCTTCTCCTCTAACTTTCGGCAAGAAAGTGAATTAGCATTTGTCCCAAAATGTCAAACTTTATAATTAAACATTTCTGGGCCTATTTTGGCATTGCATTTTCCTTCTGACATATCCAACAGTCACAATAAAATGAAACATTTTTAAAACATCTTTTGTTTAAAGTGTTAGTCACACCCACGATCGAAAAAATTGTCCCATTTTCACAAGCTTGAATGCATTTTTAACCACATTTTTGTATTATAGAATGAATCTGAGAAGCACACTGATGATGGAAACATGGTCCCAAAAATGTATACTTTCCTTGTAAAATAAAACAACCTGAAATACAATTCAACCCCCTTAAACAAAAACTGGCCTGGTGAGTCACTCCATGCAAACTAATTCTGTGTAGCCAAACATTGTTCAAACCCACATCGTTTTTGTTTTTTTTTCTCCAAAATGTGATAATGATGCACACGACATCTACAATAGTACCCTTTGATGGTGGTGCTCAGAATCATTTAGGCGGTACTTTGGCACGGTGGTGCTTTGAGCTAAATGCTAGCATCAGCGTGCTAACAAGCTCACAATGATAATGCCTTTTTCTGTGGTTTGCTTGTAAATGTTTACCATGTACACACTCCCAGTTTAGCGTGTGCTAATTAGCACTAACAGAAAGTACAGCTGAGGAAAGTCATTAGTTTTGCAAGCATTGGATCATAAACCGTAGCGTTAGAAAAAAAGAATTTTTGACTTGATGATGACGCTAGATGCGTTACTTCAATTAATTCTGTGGGGAAAATGCCTGTACTAAATTTCATGGCAACACATCCAGTACTGGTCGAGATATTTCAGTAGATTAACGTGATGAATGATTGACAAACACTGCCTTCCCTTGCCACTAGCACAGCTGAAAAGCGGAAAAACTTAAACACAAAAAGATGTTATCAAGCAGCACTATTCCTCTTCCACTTTTTGATACACCCTCCCTGATAGAAGGCCTGGCTGCTTATAGTTTTATGCTGCTGGTTATGTAATAGAACAGAGCATTCGCCATTAATAAACTAACTCTATAGGATGTACACAGTCCTAGAAAACCGTGCTTGTTCATACTGTAGGTTGAATTAGAAGAAAACCAATATCTCTCAGTAAGAAAATACGGTATTTAGTGCCATTTACTATAATGCCCTGTAACCAGCATCTGTCAATACAATACCTCTGCATATATGGTTGTGCATAAGCATCCTCAACCCCACCCTGTCTCCTCTTTGCTCATGTGCCATATTATTTCTCCATTTCCACAAACTAAAACCCCCCCTGACAACTTTAACCCTTGAAATATTCTCTTTTCATACAATCACAACAATAACGCAAAAAAAAAAATTATAATCCTTGAGCCACAATCCTCATTGGCTGTTGCTATGGGGACACTTCTCCGGCTGTTGCTGCTAGCTGAGGTACACTGACCCAGTCTTGGCTGTGGGAGACGCATTGCAGCATTTCTGTGAGAGGGAGGGGAGGCTCGTACTGCATGAGAGTATGCACGCAGCATCACATAGTACAGGAGGTGAAGGCGAGTGCCAAAGCAGCAGCAGCGGCAGCACTGTACGCATGCAGGCTCTTCATCAGGGGATCTATATTTAGCGTGAAGATGTTGCTGGTTCTTCCTCCACCTCAAAAATGTGGAGCTGTCACAGGGTTGTATCTCTTCTTTCCTTGCTAAAGGAGGAAGCAAGGGCAATAAGAGGGGGGGAAATAAATAAGCACTTCTTAATGACATGCATTAATATCCAGGGGTTAAATGTTAGGTCAGAGAACATAAACAAGTCACAGATACATGAGACACTGGCAACGTTGTCACTTTGCAATGTTTTACCAGCATCTGGAAGAATGTATCAGCAACCAATTTTTGCAAACTAACAGCCGACATCAGATCAGCAGCATGTTTAGTGAGTAAACACACTGCCACGCAGTTGATAGATGCTGTTGTTTTCCTGTCACAATGTCCTCTGAAATAGGTTCACAATCTGAATTTGCTCAGCTGCTGATCAAACAAGTAGTGTGGAACTGATGGTTGTGGGGTTTTCTAAGCTCAGGAGACTGAATTTAAAAATAACAACACCAGAGCATATGAATGTAGTGTATGTAGCACGAGTATTGTACTTTGAGTGAATGAACAAATGTTGGAGGAAAGAAACGAGGCCAATATTTATATCAGGTTTTTTATGTTTTTCTCAGTATGTTAATGAAGACTGGAAGCTTGCCTTGAGATTCTGGACACATGTTTTATTGATGTGAATGAACATGACCAGCAGTTGGTGCTTTTCTCTTGCCATCTACCAAACATTTAGCTCCACATTTCCAGCACTTTATTTGTAAATTTATTGTCCTTCCTCCGATCACCACGGATGTTAACAAACCTGCCAGCTGATTGGTCCTCCGCCCCACCTTTGAGGGTGATCTGCCTAATTAAAGTAACTATTTAAACACTGGACGGTTGTAATTCATTTGACAAAGTTTTCAAGGATTTATTACATTATTGTACTTTTATTCAGACGTATGCCATGCAACGTTCTCTGCTGCACAAAATTAATTATTTTTCCCATTTTTTCTTCTAATTTCAGCTTTTGTCTGAAATACAGTACACAAAAGCATATACACCATAGCAAGTTCAAAGATATGGCAAAAAGACTATACATTTGTCTATCGTCAGAGACTTAGCCATACAGTTTATATCATGGTACCTCTCACTTTAATATCTCTGGTTGTAGTTGGTCATTGAGTGCAATGTTGCAAATCAATGAGCAGGACTGTTTAATTTAAATATTGGATTTTGCATGATTATTTGCAACATGTTACCTATGTTTGTCAAATATTTAATTCACTGGGTTGGATGAACCAAATTGAATTCAATCAGACATTATTGTCTGGTTATTTATCCATCAACAACTTTCTGTGATTTTCCAGAAATGTTACTATAATCACAACATATGCATCAACATATGAAATTACATACACCATGATAGAGCATTTTATCCGTGTCTCCCATGCCTAGCACTGTGAGACAAGAGATCAATGGCAGACATTTATTTATTTAATAAATGTCTTAAACTTGGTAGAAACCTGAAGAGTAGCTGAAACCAACAAAGACTGGGTAAACCACACATAAAGATCGTTTCCACCAACTTTCACAGTTTTTTAGACTTTAACAGTCAGGAAGGAGCATGAACTGAATAAATACACTAGACAACACACCGAACCCCTGGACAGTAGCCATTGGAGTTCTGGCAGTAGACCACCCCACAAATTCCACGGGATCTGTCATGTCGTCTCGTACCAAAACAAACATGGATGGCAACCAGTAGCTTGCACTGTTTATATGCAGTGACATTTGCACTGAAAAGGCCAAAAAAGGAGGGAAAAGCTGGGCAGATCCTCTACTCCAGTTGTCCAGTGCACTCTCGCACCACAAACCTTTATGCTCGCATGTGTGTTGCCCTTGGGAGAACGACTGGATCTGAAGAATTGAGATTATAATCTTTACATATTGCAACCAAATGATTTTATCTGCTGACTGTCAAGACCAGCTGACCCAGACTGCAGCAGACCCTGTCCAACTTGGTCCTATTAGTCGTCACGCCCAAATCATATTCAACAGTTTAGTTTGGTGTCCCTGTTACAGAAAACAATATAAAATTAAAACTTTTTAGGTTTGTGTTATTGGCTATTATCTAATCTTTTGGTTAGGAAAGCTAATGGGATGAATATTGCAAGTTCTAATAACGTTTTGATCTAAAAATTAATGTTTGGTATTGAATCTCTTTAAACAATGTCAATCTCTGACTGCTTTATTTCAAGGAGAGCTGGCTGACCACATGTATGTGCTTTAAATTAACTGCATATATCATTGTCTCATCTCTTTTAGTGCCTTTAACTGTTATGAAATCACATTAATCTGAGCACTGACACCAGAGCAGTTGTCTAATAGACCAAGTGCTGGAAAGAAGATATAATAGCTTCAACGACCTTGACATCGAATTACAAGAATAGAGGACAGGTATGAACTGTTCCTCTGATCCCTCTGTGAAGTCTTCAGATTACTTGTTTTGTCCAACCAGCAATAAAAAAGGGAAAAGCCAGCAATTGCTATTGAGGTGCTGGAGCTGGGTAATGTTGCCCAATAATCTTCTGTTGATCAACAAATCAATTAATGAACTAATTGTAGCTCTAGTCCTGATTTGAGTCAGGCTATATCTGATCAAAGAATAACTACAAATGTCTCAGAATCTGACAAGCAATTTGACACCAACGCCACTTGATGTTTATGATATTCAAAGCACAGACACATTTCTGTTGATACTCAAAAACTATCAAAGTTCTGCCTGCAAAATAATACAAAACTGCACTGCTTCTTTAAAAGCCAGCTATTATTATTATAGTTAGACAAAGAACCCAGGTGTGTCAATGACTATGAGCCTTTGCGTTAAGGTAATTGTAGATTAAGTAATATTTGTGTTTAGATAAGATAAAAGCAGCAGGGGCTCATGTTTTTCCTGTGCATATGGCCCATGATTTTCCTGTGTTGTGACAAAACACTGCCACTCCAACCAGCTAATATAAATGCTCTGCATGTCGGAGAAGCTAATTAACCGCCTTGCTCTTCTCATATTCCTATTTCAAGTTATTAACATGTTCAAGGACAATCTCCTGTAAA